CAACGAATTCATTATTTTTTTTTATTTTATTAACTTATTTATCTAAAAACCTAATAATTACGTTTTATGACATTTACTTTTTTGTTATGCCGACTGAAATTTTACTTTTTTGTTAATTTCCACTAATAACTTACTGTTTAATCTTTTTTTTATTTTATTTATCTATTTTGGAGCTTAGTCGGTGTTTATTCTCATTCTTTAGAGTTTTATCTCAATCTTTAACATCACTCCACAATTATGAAAATTGTTATTTATAGGAACATTTACCATAGATTTTAAAATAATTAGTATTCACCAAAAGAAATTTTGAATATACACAATACATCAAGTAGAAATTCATTCAAATTGAAAACATCTTTTAATTTTAAAATTCCTCTGATGGTATTGTTAATATATTGTAAAAACATCCTTTGTAAGCTATTAATTGCAATTTAAACTTTAAAATGTTCAATCTTTATTTTTTTATACATTAAATTGAAAGCTTTTAAGAATATTGTAATTAAAGTTCTTTTGCAGACTCTAGTTCATATTGTAAAATTAGAAATGTCTTTAAACTTAAATTTAATTCTTTAATCTAAATTTGAAGTTCTTAGATCTATTGTTCATAATAATAATTTAGCCTATTCAATAAACCTTAAAAGTATTGAATTAAGTTATCCTTTTGAAGTAATAAAATTTCTAACTGTTAGACTTATTTTTCAGTTTGTTCAATAAGTTTTAACATGCATTGAGCATCTTTAAAAAATTTTCTAGTCAAGAATTGCACTAGGTAAGGCAAGTAGTTTCTACTTAAACCTATTCACAAATGAAAATTATTTATCTGTTAATTATAAATTTTATAATTTCTTCCAAATCAACTCTATCTCCTACTAAAGCATTATGCTTTCATCAGGTTCATTTCTATTATCTTTAACATCTTAAATTGCATATGATAATATTTATTCTAATATTCTCATAATATATTTTAGTTATTAGCAAATTTAGAATTCATTCATCTATTCAATTAATTCTATCTAAATATTGTACTTCCATAACTTAGCTTAATAATTTTAATGATTTTTAGAGTATTTAAGAAATTATTTTTTGAAATTGAGAGTATTTTTTTTAATTATGAATTATACATGTCTTATCCCAATCTTACATTAAAACACTTATTTTATTTAATAAAATTTTTATAATATTTAACTCTAATTCCCAATCTCTCTTCATTTTCCTGAATAAAGCTAGCAATTTATTAGAAATGAGGAAATCAAGAAATTGTTAAATATTGCAAACTGCCTAAATTTAGTCAATTTTTTTGGGTTCTAAATGCTCTAACTTTAATGTTAAATAAGAACCTAATGTGAAATATATATTATGAGTTTTTTTATTTAGTAATTAATCTTTAAGCAACATCAGGTTTTCCCATTCTTTGAAGGTGTCTTCTAGTATTAATTTATCAATTTAAGTTAATTCTTTATTTTTAAATTAATGAAGTAATATTAAAGCTTAGTCGTTGCCATGATTTAATTACATTAGAAATCCTTTGTTAAGATATTGCTTCCATATTTAATTTGATTTTGCCTCAAAATTGAAAGACCTAGTCAGCTGATTTAATTTTTTTATATGTTATCAAAGGACGATAAATTATGATTTTTCCAATCATTTAAATCCACAAAAAATGGTTTTTCCATTTATTTGAATTTTTCACAAGTTTTTCATGTATTTTCTCAATTTGTAGGATTATTTCTTCTAAATTCAGTTAGCCTTCATTTTTTAAATTATTGATGATCTCCCATAACAACATATCTATTAAAAATAATCTTCATATTATTTTCTATTTTTCTAAATTGCATAATTATTGTAATGTAGGCATGCTCGATACAATTACATAAACAATTCATTATTAGGTTTCATATCAAATATTGAGTTAAAGATACCATTTAAACAACCGTTTAAATTATCATCCCTATCTTTACCATCTTTTGGGGCCACCTGAAATGAAGCTTTTGTTAGGAAAAGGTAAATTTCCAATTAAGTTTGAATTATATCATTTTTCTCTATTTCAATTTATTATTTTAATTCATCACAAATATCCAAAAATTGCTTTTATGTGTCACAGTTCATTAATCTTTAACCCTTTCTCATATGGAAGATAAATATCACTTTAGATAGAGAAGATGTAGTCCTTAAGATGAATAAACATTTAAATGAATCCGTTCTGACATAGATTAAACAACTTTTCAGTAATTTTAGGATTCCATCTATAATTAAGTTGTATGATTTCATGACCTTTTAGGCATTCTTGATAAGTTTGTAAATGTTTTCCTCTAAAAAAATAAACCATTATATGGCTATCATTATTTCTTAAGCTTCGGATTAATTGGCCGCATCATCTACTTTAGTGTGTATAATTTAGACAACAGAATCAAATCTAGTTATGAAATTTTCTATGTCGTAAATATCAGCCTTAAAGTCTACTTCTGAGTTGGGAATTATTTTAATCGACCCACAACCGCCTCCACGTAATGAGGATGCAACTTTATTAAATAGGCCTGACATTTTTAATAATAATTTAAATAATAAATCAATAACGGTATAAAAATTTTATAACTTAATATNAATGCTCTAACTTTAATGTTAAATAAGAACCTAATGTGAAATATATATTATGAGTTTTTTTATTTAGTAATTAATCTTTAAGCAACATCAGGTTTTCCCATTCTTTGAAGGTGTCTTCTAGTATTAATTTATCAATTTAAGTTAATTCTTTATTTTTAAATTAATGAAGTAATATTAAAGCTTAGTCGTTGCCATGATTTAATTACATTAGAAATCCTTTGTTAAGATATTGCTTCCATATTTAATTTGATTTTGCCTCAAAATTGAAAGACCTAGTCAGCTGATTTAATTTTTTTATATGTTATCAAAGGACGATAAATTATGATTTTTCCAATCATTTAAATCCACAAAAAATGGTTTTTCCATTTATTTGAATTTTTCACAAGTTTTTCATGTATTTTCTCAATTTGTAGGATTATTTCTTCTAAATTCAGTTAGCCTTCATTTTTTAAATTATTGATGATCTCCCATAACAACATATCTATTAAAAATAATCTTCATATTATTTTCTATTTTTCTAAATTGCATAATTATTGTAATGTAGGCATGCTCGATACAATTACATAAACAATTCATTATTAGGTTTCATATCAAATATTGAGTTAAAGATACCATTTAAACAACCGTTTAAATTATCATCCCTATCTTTACCATCTTTTGGGGCCACCTGAAATGAAGCTTTTGTTAGGAAAAGGTAAATTTCCAATTAAGTTTGAATTATATCATTTTTCTCTATTTCAATTTATTATTTTAATTCATCACAAATATCCAAAAATTGCTTTTATGTGTCACAGTTCATTAATCTTTAACCCTTTCTCATATGGAAGATAAATATCACTTTAGATAGAGAAGATGTAGTCCTTAAGATGAATAAACATTTAAATGAATCCGTTCTGACATAGATTAAACAACTTTTCAGTAATTTTAGGATTCCATCTATAATTAAGTTGTATGATTTCATGACCTTTTAGGCATTCTTGATAAGTTTGTAAATGTTTTCCTCTAAAAAAATAAACCATTATATGGCTATCATTATTTCTTAAGCTTCGGATTAATTGGCCGCATCATCTACTTTAGTGTGTATAATTTAGACAACAGAATCAAATCTAGTTATGAAATTTTCTATGTCGTAAATATCAGCCTTAAAGTCTACTTCTGAGTTGGGAATTATTTTAATCGACCCACAACCGCCTCCACGTAATGAGGATGCAACTTTATTAAATAGGCCTGACATTTTTAATAATAATTTAAATAATAAATCAATAACGGTATAAAAATTTTATAACTTAATATATAAATAATTAATTCACAATTTTTTTTAAATTATTTTCCCAAACCTAGGTCATATTTTTTCTATTCTCATTTTTTTGATTATTTGAATTGTAAATTATATTACAATATATATATAATATTCTCTATATGATATAATTTAATTAAATTAAATTAATCTAAGGTGGAATCAAAATGTTACTTGATAAATACGATTAATGAATGAAATTCAATGGGAATTCAAATACTACTAATATGCATCTACTATAATATTCATACCTTGAGTTTTTCTGTTTTGCACAACCTTAAAGATAAATTTGCTCCTGCAAAATGATAATATTAAAATACACCTTTATTATTGTATGCATTATAATTGGATAAATTAATGAATAAGGCTAAGTCAAAACAAATAATATCCTCATCTAATATATTAAGGTTGTTTAAAATAAATTTTTACAGCTTTTTGTAAATACAATTTATTAAAATTGATAAAATATAATCTTACACAATCTTGAAAGTTAAATTTAAATTTAAATTATTTTTGAATTTCAGCATAATTACTCATCTAATTTTGAATTAATTTATATGGAAATATTTACAATATAGATGAATTTGATGGTAAACTAAAATTTTCGATGTTTTTTATTAAATTAATTCAGAGTATAGCCTCTAAACGTAAAAAAAATCTTTTGATATAAATTGAAATGTCCTAATGACAACATATATATTTAAATATCAACGATATTTGAATACAAATATGAATTCTATTGTCAATATAAGATTTAAAAAATCTAAATTTATTTTACAAGATATTTTTGATGTCTTATAACAAGAAATAATGCGCTCATTAGAATTAACAATCATAGGTTAATTATTTCTATTATATATATTAAAGAGAAAAAAATTTTAATTATACTAAAACATATTATAAGGAAAAAGCCTACAAAATCAAAAAAAAAGGTCAAATTTTGTTTGTTGCTTTGTCAAAATCTTTATTACAAAATCTTCTTTGATGGTTAATACAGGTGCTGAATTGGACTTTTAGATCCTTTTTTTCTCTAATTTAAATTTCAAAACTTATTGCCCAATTTTATATTCATTTATATTCCATTTTAACACTGTTGTTATTGAAATAATTTCCATAATTAATGCTAGCAAAAGAATCTATATGATTAATCCAATAAAGAAACTAAGAACAATTCCAATAATGCATGCAATAATAAAATTCTCATTGTTATACATTATAGTGCTCAGAGTGATGCCTAATCCATATAAGAAAAGACTTAGTATTAAAAAGCTTGACAAACAATATTTCTAATTTTTCGGAATTCTTAACAGCTATGAAAATTCGTATTTTTATTAAAATTATACATCACAATGAAAGGTCTTTTTGCACAATTCACAAAAGACCTTTTATTATAAAAGAAAGTTACTCTATTTGCAGCTATTTCATCAATTTTATGATTTCTTAATAGCCAAGTCTTTAAACAATCCTCATGAATATACTGAATAGATCCTTTACATTCACAAGGCTTAATAAATGCATTAATTTATCCATCCTCTAAACAAATTCTGCAAATTATTTTATCAGAATTAATCTAAATAACATTATGACATACTTCAGCATGCTATAGATGTAATTTTCTGTTTTATGTTTAATTGTTCAAATACATTTTGACTTTTTTGACAGTTTAAGGATTTAAATTGACGTGAATACTTTTGTTTTAACTATCCTAGAAAAAGAACTATAAATACTTTAACGACAATAGTTTGCACTAACATTTTTTGAGATTCAATTTTTGGGATAAAAAATATCTAACCAGTTTAAAATCCCAATTCAATTAAATCTTATTCTAATGTATTATGCTATTATCCATTGTTTTCACTCTAATCTAGAGATTATTACTTAACAAAAATTCGATTTTTATGGGAAAATTACATATATTATTTTATATCATAATTTAAATGGTATTTGCATTCCCTTATAAATCAAACTCTTTTAAAAAACATATCAATAAATTCTAAATATTCAATTTCTCCGTCTTGATCTCGATCAACTTCGCTAATTAATAACGAACAATATTCTTTGGTGATGTATTTATAATTCTCTAGTTTAGATAATATTTCCCAAAGGTTTTCATTAGAAATTTTTCCTTTGTTATTCAAATCAAACATTTTAAAGGTTTTATATATCCTTTCCTCATCTACAAAAACTCTTTTTTCTAATATCTAATTCATAAAATCTAATTAGAAATATCAATAGATAGTACCTAAATAATTTATGGTTCCATCTTCAGTTTAAACATATTTTAGTAATTTAAGAATTTCTTCAAATTCTTGATGTTTTTCAAGGGATTTTTGAATTAAATCAATTTTGATGAATCCACTACCTGTAATATCTAATTGATCAAAAACGATTCTTAAATTTTCTGCAAATCCTTGTTTGACTTAATCAGCAACATACCCTCTCATTATCTAAAGTTAAATATTTGTTACTTTCTAAAGAAAATTGTTTTAAGTAAGTGATTTTAATTTGGAAAAGTTGATATCCAAAATTTCTTCCTCTTCTGAAAACTACTAGGTCATCCATTTATGTTTTTAAATCTAAAATATTTAGAATCGTTTTTCTTGAGGTTTTAAGATTTTTTCAATGAGATCAGAAACAATCCCTTTTGTTTTTAATTGAATTGTATTATCCTAAATATTCTAATAAATTTCATTTTCGTCTTTTCCATCAAAAGGTAATTCGCCTGTAAGTAACACGTGCAATATTACACCAGATGCCCATATTTCACTCTTTTCTGTTAATTTTCCATTAAATATTTCTGGAGCGGTAAAATATAACTATTAAATTATTGATGAGGTTATATACTTTTCCTTATCGAGAAGTATCAATTATTTGATTATTAGATTTCTTAATATAATCATCAACGTATATGAGTTAGAATCCAAGATCAATTAGTTTTATATCTAGATTATTAATATCTTTATTAATAAAATGGAATGATTCAGGCTAGCAAATAAACTTTTTTAAATACCCTCAAATCTCTCTAACATATAGCGGATCTATGTGCAATATTAAGACAATTTATGATTTATTAAAATAGATATCTAGCCTCACTTTGTTTAAGATGATATCTTAATAAAATCTTTTCAAATAATGATCCTCCATCACAATATCTATGTTAATTGGAGTATTTACTCTAAAACAAAATAAAGGTTCTTATCATCTTCAAATAATTCAATTAATCTTGTGATATTTTCATGATTCTAAATTCATTTTAATTTTACTAAGTATCGCAATTAGTTAACCTCCTATTTGAATCTAGATTGATTGATAACTTTAGTTTTTGGCACCACTCGAACAGTTCGAATTTAACCATCTTTTTTTTTCTCTCGATATTTAATCACTAAACCATATTTTGAAGGACCTAGTGACTTATTTAATAAAATTAAAAACTTACTTTTCTTCCCTCTATTTCATAACGATCCTTTAATTTGCTTTATTTACTCCATGCAAACCATAAATTAGATAAATTTAACATAAAAATTATTTTTCAAATCAATACTAAAAATATATTGCAAACAAAAAATAGTAGAAATGAAAGCAGAAACAATTAAAATTCCATTATATTACCTTCGCCAATGCATTTTCCTACCCAAGGACAATGATGATCATAACCTCTAACGCAAATATCGCATTCATAACAATGATAGGTTCCTTATTCTTTTTTGAGTTTACATGGTTAGCATGATTCTTGATTATATAAAATCAATACTCTCATTTCTAGTTACTTCAGTTAATGTGAAATTGACTCCAGGATTTTTTAGAAAAACTCTAAGAAAACTTATTTCCAATATTAAGCCACTCAATATGGATGCTAAACTATACCAAATTCCAGATTTAAGGTAAATAGTAGTACTAATAAAATATGTACCTACTATAATAGTAAATATCACACAAAGACTCAAAGGCCCTACATATATCAAAATGAAATACAATGAGGACCTATCGTTATTTATGGTTGACCATCTGAAAATTTAAACATAAAGTTGTTTCCATAATGCGGTTTAAATGGTTGATCATTCTCTATTTCAAGAATACCATTTGTTTCATCTTTTTGAATCTAACATGAATCATTTTAAAAGAATGCTTCTTATTATTTCATCCTTTTTGTTGATTTTACAATAATTAGAAATAAATAATATTCAAATCATTGCTGGATTTATCTAGTTAAGAAATAATTAAGTCTGATCTATGCATTGTTAGGCTTATTCTGTTAATTCCTCATTCATCATTCCTAATTCTACTACTTAATCCATCAATTTTTGATTGTTCTCTTCCAATCTTTAAAAGGTATTAGGTAACATGCTTTTTGATTCAACTAATAATTCGTTCTGTGATATAGATTAGAATGTTTACTTTTTTCTTTAATTTTAATGCGTTTTCTTCATTATCCTCTATACCTAAGATAATATTTTCATATTGTTGAATTTCATTTTTGTATGCTAAATATTCTTTTTAAATTCTTCTGGATGCTGCCATTAATACTTTGATCTTCTTCTCTAAAGGTGCCTCAGCCATTTTAATTAATTTAATTATTACTTTTTGCATAATAGAGCACCATCTGAAATCATTATCATAAAATTTCTTTTATAAATTTTATAATCAATTCTGTTAAATTATTTAGTAATATGCCTTATTTTTAATTTATATATAAAATTTGATTGTAAATGAAACGAAAGTATAACAAACTCTTTAAAACAGAAGTTGAATCAGATGCATTTGGAGATCTTGTCACATTTCAAGACTTTGAATCAAAATTGAGGACTTTTATTGATAATACTTCAAAATTTACAAAAGGGAAATAAAAAGTTTAAATGAAAGAATCAAATTCATAAACCGATTTAGATTTTTAGTCAATTTTGCTTGATAAAATAATAAGAAAATCAATGACGAAAAAAGACCTCAAAACAAAATATATCGATTTATGTTCAGAATTTGGGATTGATTATTATCAATTACTAAAACTAGAAAGTTTAGAATTGAAATAAGATTATGCCATCTAATGTGCTACCAAGTCAATATCCAAAAGTTTAGAGAATCTATTAACCAAGTATAAATAAGAAAAGCATGAGCCTTCTGTTCCCAATAACAGTAAATAATTGGATTTGTATGGATGGATGAAAGTGAAATCTCAATATAAAAAACTTAAGAAAATTCTGTAATATGCTCTTGTAGAACTTGTTTAATAAAATTCAAATCAAGATAAAGTAAGTATTTGATATTTATATAAGATTAAAATGTTTTTTGCTTACATTAATCATTTTATACAAAAACGACACAAAACAACAGAGAGTCTAAATTTCAGTACAGCTCACACTTCAAGAATTCGTACATAGCAAAATTTTGAAGAAAAATTATATTTAGATCCACCTCAATTTTAATTTTCAAAACCAGATCTCTTTTTTGAATGGAATCATGCAATTGAACAGGGCTATTTATCAAATGATTAAAATATTCATAAAGTTGGATATGAATTAATGAAAAAACAAAATAGCAAAGGTGTAAATTATTAAAAAAGAGAGAAATTACTAGATTAATGTTAGGAAGGCAATTATTTGACAGCTGAAGAATTAAAATATTTAGCATCAACTTCATTTTTAATAAATAAATGTGTAGATAAATAATTTATTTAGAGAGCAATTAATTTTTTGGATTCATAAGTAAATAGTATCTTGAATTTTTTAGGTAATTCATTAAATTGAAATGAATATAGCTGAGTAAGTATTATAAACATTTTACTATTTGAAGAAAAATCTTACTAAATATAGAAAGGAATGGTTAGAAAAAGTTAATATTGAGAAACGAAAGAATATTAGTAAAAACTAAAAATAGATATTTTAGAAATCAATTCAGAGCTTAATTAAAAGAAAAATTAATTGCTTTCAAATTCAAACCAAATAAGAAATATCAAAAAGAAAATTATAAATTAATTAAGAGATGTTGCAAAGAAAAAGCAACTTTAACATGAAGCAGAAAAAAAAAAAGAGAAATATTTGAGAATATAACGAAGAATGGGTAATCCATTAGCAAATATATATGTTTAAAAGTTCAAAGAAATTGTTCTATAAGTGATAAGTAAAATTAGAGAAGTACTTAATTTTATTAAGATAGAAAAAAGTATCTGATAAAGAAAGATAAAAGGAATTTTTGGAAAGGAATGAAGCTAAACCTCCTCCAAAAGCCATTTACACAATTGGAAATGAAATATATGATGTTAAAAAATCAAAGAGAGCTTTTCATCCACCTTCCAAAGTTATGACAACTTTATCTGAAGATAAATATAAGATTGAAAAACCAGAGATATAGAAATAACAAATAAAGAGATATAAATTAGGAATAAGAAATTATACAGTTACATAAGATCAATTTAAAAATTTCTATGCTGGTGGACCATAATTACCAAGAAAATTTCAATCCTCAGAATTATAACATTTAATTAAAAATGATGAATCAGATACTAATTTTCCAAGAAAAAACAATTGGATAACATCAGAAGCAGAGGTTTAAGCTGCAAATAAGATCAAATTTGCCATTAAAAGGTATATTCAGAAGAAAGCATTAAATAAGTTAATTGTAAAAAGTGAAGTAAAAAAGAACAGAGATATTGAAATTAAAATTAGAAAATGCATGCAAGCAAAAAAGTTTTTTGAAGAACTTCACAAAGAATTAGATAAAAGATAAAGTGAAAGACTTAAAGATATCTCAAGTCATTAGCCACCAAAATTACCTATTGATAAAATTGAAAAGATTCCATCCTCTGGTGCTTTAAGCATAGGAATAAAAAGTAGTGGTCAAGTGTCTTAGACTTAAAGAACATCTAAGAGATTATAATCTCATCGATTAAGTCTTTATAAATATATTCCACCCCAAGAAAAAGTAGATGAAAATTCTTTGGTATTTTTATGATTGGTATTAAGTTAAGGATACGGCTAGAAGGGCAGAAATGGAAATTAAGGAAATTGCTAGAAAAAAGAAGATGATGAAATTTTCTAAACAAAAGGAAATGAGTGAGGCAAAATTGAAAAACAGAAAATTAATTGTTGCTGCCAAAATGAAGAATTTGTAGGTTGCCATGACTTCAGGATTTTAATACAATCAAAGGGATACACAATTATGTGATAGATTCGGAAATACTCCTCTTTATTATTGTGCTAAAAATGGAGATGAATAGTTTTGTAGGTTTTTACTCAATTTGGGTGCAAATGTTAATTAATAATGTGAGAATCTCAATACTCCTTTACATATGGCATTTTAATCAGAAAGCAAATAAATCATCATTGACTTTATAAATAAAGGAGGTAATCTCAGTATGGTCAATGCAGATAAATGTACTCCATTAGCATTTGGATCAGAGGAATTATTGAAATCTTTGAATTTATGCAATCTTGTTGCAACTGTAAATTATTATTTATTTTAAGACTAAACAACAATATTTGGAGTCTGATAATAATAATGTATTTTCAAAGAAGGAAGCAAAATGGATGGATTAATAGTTTGAGGATGGATTAATATATGACAGATACAAATATAAAACAATAATATGATTATATATAATGAGTTATAAAGGATAAATTTTTATATTTTAGATATCTAGTCATTAAATATTAGAATGAAGTAAAATGCTAATCTAGGAAAGGTTTTATATATGAATATAGTTCTAACATTTCATTTATCTTAATGCTTGGCATTGGCTAGTCTCTTACCCCAAATTGTCGATTAGAACAACTACTCATATTTAGGTGGACTAGGATTAATAACCATATATACAGTAAATCTAATTTTCAATCTGGTTGGTATGATTATTGTATAAGTATCATTATTAGCTCCTCTTTATTTAACCAAAATGAAATACAGATATGGATTTGCCTTTTAAGCAGGATTAGTATTGCCTTGTTTTATTCCTGCTTACATTGTATCAAGATGTGATGGAAACGATATTTAAAATTTAATTTGCAATCCAATATTGTTGATTCCTCTAACACTAATAGGATGTCTTTTCTTAGGAGCGGGATTAGGTGGATATTTTGTTCTCTAAAATACTTATGTTAGTCATTGTTCAACAGAAAAAAACAAAGAGTTATTTTTTGGCATAACTTATATGTTACTTGGTAGTGCATATTTGTTGAATGGAGTCACTTCTGATTAATTATTATAATATATAGGACGGGAGAATTTCTTTTTGTATAGTGGATTATTTGAATGCATATTATCGTTATTGTTTATTTTTGTATAATAACCTGATAAAAGAAATTAAACTTAAATCTCTGAGGCTAATTAACATATGATCCAGAATGATTCTGTTGATAAACTTGAAGAAAAGGTAACCAACATTAATGAATAATTTGCCAAAATTGGATTCAAAGCATAAATTAAGTAGATCTTGTAAAAATTTTAATTGAAGGAAATGAAATTTTTATTTTCTTTATTCATTTCTACAGGTGTAGTTATAGGTTTTGAATTTGGAATCTTTCATAAATTCATTTCAGCCTCTTTACCAGGCGAAGATGAAATCACAATAAATGTAAAAACAGCCAGAATCTTTCTATTTGTCGGAGTGGCTTAAATATTAAGTGGGATATGTAATGGGTTATCAAGATATTTCTTTGGAATTATCCAAAATTCAATCTTTTATGGAAATATATTTTAATGTTTGAATATTATTGCTATTCTTAGTGCATTTTAAAAAGATTACAATATCAATATAATTTTAGGCTTTTTGATGTATGATTTAAATTTACATTTTTAGAGGATTTACAGATAATTCAGGATAATTCAATTCTGCTGTTATCATCTCAGATATTTGGAAAGAAGACATGGCAATTTTTGGATTATATCTATTTTGCCAAAATTTTGGAGTCATGTTTACTAATCTTGTTGCTATCTTTCTTGACGGATAATACCTAATATATTATTTGATATTGTTGATTACTTTACAATGTTCTACGAGTTTTTCTTAATAATAATTTAAAAGATCATTACAAGAATGATTATAAAATAAGAAATATTTATATTTTTCATTATTCCTCTGCTTCATCCTCAATAACATAATCTGGTGGAAGAATAATTCTGATAAAATCTTCCATTCCTAATTTCCCATCTTTATCTAAATCATGTAATCGAAATAAGTCTTCAACTTCCTTGGCCGTAAAACCATAAGTAAAAGTCTTTTTGAGATCTTCCAAAGATATATCTAATTTATATATATTTATATAAATATACATCCTTTGTTGTCTTGATCGATTAAATCATAAATCTATTTAATTCTAATCATACTGCTTTTTGGTAATATTCTCTTTCTCTTAATTTACTTTGTATCATTGTTTTTAAGAACCTCCAATTCAATGCTTTCCTTTGAGCTCTTAGAAAACACCTCGTTATATTATTTAATCCAATTGTTAATGATTTCTAACTAGACTTTTGTTAATGAAGGGTAAAGCTTCAGCATTAATTAATCGAATGTGACAAATCCTTTTTATTTTGAATCTAAGTAATTATACAAACTGGCTGTTACTCTTTTCATATGAGGTTTATTTTAAAATGCTTTTGTAAAATCCTTAACTCCAATAACCTTATTATTATCAGATAATGAATCAAAATAATTCTTAACTCTAAAAATCTCATTTCTTGTTAATGTGCACCCTTTAGTAATTATAATGTTTTTCATTATCCTACCTTAGCTTTTTACTCTTTTACCTAATAAAATAGGATTTTAAGCAGGATGATGCAGACTTTAAGATGGCTTCTCTGTTGACAAATCATATTTTTTTTAGTGTTAATCTAATGCTTTTTCTAAGATGTTTAACTCTTCCAATTCTTCTTCCATATTAAATTATTTTTAAGGTTAGATTTTGGGTAAAGATTAATTTCTTTATTATTAGATAGAATAAATCTATTGTTATTATTAACTTTTTGTATTAGCCATATAACTAAATTTATTCCTTTTGCCCACCTAATCATTTAGGCTCTTCATATAATATTCATTTTTATTAGATTTAGTTATCATTTCTAGCATATTCTCAGCCTCTTGTTCAGTATAAGCTCGAAAAGATCGAAATGCTTCATATGGCTCTTGTACCTTTTACTTTGGTTCATACATTTGAAATAATTGCAAACCAGTAGGATTATTGTCTAGCCACTCTATTATCCTAAAGTTATGTATTGTATTACTCGCTCAGTTCTAATGAATTATCTACTTAGATATCACTTTTGAGAAACATCAATTTTGCGAACTTCTCCAATTAGATATAAGATGGCAATTCAGCTTCTGTTAACTTGCAGTATCCTAATATAATCGATTTAAATATTATCAGTAGTTCATTCAAACTTATGTTTCCACTACAATCTAGATCGAACACAATATACAAGACTAGGAATCATATCGAATTTAATTAATACAATGAACTTTATGGATATATTGTGTGAAGGCAGTGATTGTCAGAATACAAATGAATTCATAAATGGAGAGAACTTTGTTTCCAACACAAAACTAATCGAAGATGAAGCTTGCATTTGATCTGCTAAAAGGTACAATTTTACAAAAAATGTTTTTATCAATAAAAGGAGAATTTGATCTTCTTTGAAATTATTCATATACCTATCTGATTTCCATTAATGACCCTATTATAAATATTTTTCATTACAATGCAATAGTTATTTAAGGTTCGGATTGATATCTTTGGTAATATCAAATTTCAATTCCATCCTCCTAAGATGCATAGGAAGATTGCTTATGGTGCCAGTTTCGTCAGCATTAGGATTTGATGAAACACTTCCCATTAATATTATAATAACAATAAAATTAAAACTGACTAGATTTATCTATTCTTTTTTTATATATTCATAGCAATAATCATAAAGCTTTATAAATTTTATAGATAATTGAAAGACTAAACCTTTGATATTACCTATGTATGTAAAATATTTTGATATTAATTTTTCGTTAAAAAAATATGCTTTATGTTTAGGAAAGCAGTGGTTACAGAAAATCTGTGCGAAATAGTTTATCTTCTAGTAGAAATCAATAAAAAAAGATAAAAACAAGTTAATAATGTGAAGACATCTTACTTAATATCAATTCTATGATGAATAAATTAGATTATTTGTAGTAGGCTATTGAAAATAGAAATCATGAGACAAAGGCACAGATAAAGAAATACAAACCTCAAAACTACTATAATAAAGAAGCACAAAATCAAAATACTAACTTACAAGAAGCCTACTATACAGGAGATAAAGAAAATAACTATGAAAAATTAAATTGTTATCATTTGATGAAGAAATTTGAAACTCAAAAATATCAACATTATCCTAGATCTGATTTTTCTCGAAGAAGATCATTTGCTAATTGAGAATCTTTATTTATCCTTAAATTATCAACTTAATTTAATTTAAATTAATTTATACAAATAATAGAGAGAAGTGATGGTGGTATTATATTATAATGTTCCATAAATTGACTTACTCAATCTCTCTTTTAGTTTCCTCCTCTGGGTCTATTACCTTATGGTCTTCTTTATCCTCTGTTATCTCTATTATCTCTATTATCTCTATTATCTCTGTTATCTCTGTTATCTCTATTGTCTCTGTTATCTCTATTGTCTCTGTTGTCTCTTCTGTTTGTATTTGGTCTGGCATCTTTTCTCACATATTCAATATCAGAGTATTTCTTGCCATTTTAGTTGACAACAACTAAATCATCCTGAAAAATAAATTGCTTAATTTACTTTTTCAGGGGTTATGCGTCCAAATTAATCAAGTGAGAGTCTGTGTCTTTCTTAAACGACTTCAGACAATCCGTTTCTCCATGCATAACATTTACCTTTCTCAAGAATATTGGCATATTCTCCAACAACTCTGAATTTGATGACTCCTGTATCATCTCCGGCCAAACCTTCAGAAACAACCAAAAGTGAACCATCATATCTTTTAATTTATTCTTTTTTGATTTCTTCAATCTAGGATATAGATATTTGATTTTTACTTTGACGAAGGTATTATATCCATGAATTCCTGGTTTGACATCGCTGAGTTTGTCAACTAGTAGGTTAAACTAATACAAATACATTTTGGTTTGGTTAATTGACGAGTTTAAGGTGGTCTATTTTAGGAAGCCATTGAATAAATATATTAAAAGATTTAAATACCTTGATTAATATTTAATTTTTTTTTGAGCTTTATATAATGAATAACATAAGGTACAATACAAACTAAATATCAATATGATAAAGAAATCTTAATAACTACAAATAATTCATCTAATAAACTCTTAGCCTTGTACTTATAATATTAAATACTTAAATTTATTTTAGGATTTCATGGTTTTTCAATTGTTAGGTTTACTATATATTAATATATATTAGATGATCTTAAGTTATTCATTTTAGAACAGTTGATAAATTTCTTATTATTTACCGATAATGTAATATATAATAATAGCTAAATATCATTATGAAAATTTTGTTTTAAGAAAAGAGATATTATCATTATCATCAATCCTAAATTTGACATTATTAATTAACTTATTATATAGTATATATAGGCTTAACATATTATTTCTCTGATTTTACATGAAGATCCTACATAAATATATGATTAATTAATTTATATAAATTGTAAATATTCTAAAAATATAACATTATTCCTATCATTTAATCACACTATTATTTGCATTAATCTCAAAGTTTTTATAATAATAAATCAGAACAGAACTTAATCAACTTTATTAATCAATTAATCTTTATTATTTAATTTGATGATGAATTATATTTCCACCATCTTAATAATATGCTTATCATTGTAAATAACATATTCAACTCATACACTCAACTTAGTATAAGATTAGTAAGCTTTATGCTTAGATGGATCAAGAGGAGTATCATTATATATAATTAAAGTCATTCTATTTTGATAGAGGAAGTGGAAGTGGATCTAAGTCATGGATTATTTACTTCTAAGGAGGAGGTTGGATAGGTGGAAACAATTTAGAAGCTACAAAAAATAATGCTTTATCTAGATCAAAAACAGATATGGGATCATCTAAAAATAAGGCTCAATAAGTAAATTTAGGCGGGATCTTCTCAAGGGATTCTAAAGTGAATCCTGTTTTGTACAATTGGAATTCTATTTACATTAATTATTGTGATGGAACAGGTAATCATTTAATCTTAAATTCGTAGGACATTAAGGATATGCAAAAGATCCCATTATTGTTGGTGGAGTAAATCTTTATTTTAGAGGTAATTCAATTACAAGATCTATAATAAATTAATTTTTGGATGAATTGTAATAAGCTGACAAAGTTATTGTATCTGGATGTTCAGCAGGTGGATTAGCATCATTTACTTGGGTATAAACCATAAGAGATTTATTACCACCAAGTGTAACTGTATTGAAGTATTTTACTTAATGTATCTAGTGTTCCAGATTCTGGAGTGTTTTAGGATATGTAAACATATGATGGTTCCATTTCTTATAAAAATACATATCATACTAATTTTATGCAATTATCAAATAAAGAAATCTCTCCACCAAATACTAGATGTGTCTAATCAAACCCTAATGAATAATGGAAATGCTTATTTGCTTAATATTTAATTGAATACATTGAAGCTCCAATCTTCTTTGTGTAATCACCATATGATTCATGGTGTATTCCAAATATTTTGAAATTATCATGTGCAAATGATGGAACATTATAAAATTGCAATCAAAGTTAGGTCAATTATATAGAAAGTCATGCCATAAGTATGGAAGTTATGATGAAATCAAGATTTTCAACTCATTTTAATACTGGTGCTTTTGGTCCTGCCTGTTTATAACATTGGTATAATTATTGCTTATTAATTTAGTTTCCTAGAAGGTTCTTATTATTATGGAACTAAATTCTAAGTCCCAACTGGATCAGGAAACACAATTGCCAAGACTTTATCTGCTTGGGTTTTAGATTAATCAATTTCTTCTAATTATTTAGATAATGTATCATGGCCTGATAATATTGGATGTAGCAATTTATCAATAGAGATATGAGGTTAAATTCATATAAATTATTTAATTATTAATATTTTTTCAAATAAATTTTAATTTTTCATTTAATTTTCTCAATTCATATGTTTGCAATCTTGTTATTATTATTTTCTTTTAATTAGTTTCATTAAAAGTAATTATTGATTTTTCATTTATTAATTTATCTTCTTGTTTCTGGTTTCTTTTATTTAAATTCAACTATTATTGGTTTTTCAGTTGGTTCATCTTTGTAGCCATAATGTGTTGAACCTATACTAAGAGTTCACTGATTTTTTATTAACATGCTTAACAAATCCAGTTCTTTAAACAAGATATATGATATGAATGGCCACAATTAAATGTCACAACATTTTCAATCTCTATAAATAACTGTTTTTATAACCTCCAATCTAATCAATAATTGTACGTCCTAATAATTAGCATTATTAACATATTATTTCTACTCTCTTTCCTTAATTTCTATTTTTATGGAGTATATCTTTAATAAGGCTATTTGTTTTATTAATTTCTAGATTGCCTAATCTTAAAATATGCTAATAACAATTGAAATCTAAGAAAACAGCTCTGAAACAATAAAATTGAAATCCTAAATTTAATTTGGAGTAATTATTAATTAATTCATCAATAAATAATTCAACATCTGTAGAATATAATAATTTAATAAGAATATCTGGAGTATTTGTTCTAAAATGATTAATAATTGTTAATATTTCAATTTTAGTATTGTCTAATTTATAAGCTTAATACAACATTTATTACCAATCAATAATTTGATTAAATACTTAAAAATATAAAATATCTATATTATTATGTAATTTGTTATTATCTAGAAGTAATTTCATATTATTTAATAGTTATTGTAAAGTAGATATTAATTGACTAAGAGTAGTAATTACTAAATATGATTTCTTCCTCTTTGATATTTGTACAGGTAGTCTAACAATTTCTCTTAAATATCGTTTCAGTAAGTCATCCATAAATTCTAAATAAATTTAAATGCTTTCATCAACCTTGTTCATTTTTTCTAACAAAATAGCAGTTCCCTCATAAATATTATATGCTTTTGTTAAGTATATAGAGTCAAAGATTGGATATTTACCAGATCTTAAGAAATTAGGTACCTATTCTGGCTTATGTTTACACAATAATTCTATATGCTTGACTAAAATTTAAGATTCAGATATATCCTGCCAAATAAAATTAATGTAATCTAATTGAAATTAAGGATCATTTATAGACTCAATAACATCATTGTATTTTTATTAATGATGTAATTATATTAAAGTTTCAGAATGCAATAATGAATTTAAAGTAATCTAGATAATAAATATAACAATACATCTAATAATTATTTTTAAATTTCTTTTTATTAGTTATCTTATTATATTTTATTCCAATACCATAATTCTAATTCTAATTCATTATCTACTTCTTCTTCTTCTTCCTCTAAACATTAATTACATTCATGGGAACTCTCTTCAGATTTACTATTACAATCATTTCTGGAGATTTCTTCTTCTTAACTTTCTTCAGAATTTCCATCTTCTTCCTCATTTTCATTTTCTTCATCTTCTTCATCTTCTTCTTCATCTTCTTATGAATTCTTTTCCTCATGTTCTGAATTACTAGAATCTTCATCAGAATTCTCACTTTCACTCTATTCTTTTTATGGTTTATTAATAAAAGCATTCAGAACTGAATTTTATGGTTGAGGTTTGTCATCCATTACAAATGATACAAATTTAGAAAAAAGGCTACTCATTATGATTAATTAATTTATATTTTATTAAGCTACGATGAGTCTAATGACAAAAAGAATAATAAAAGAGCTTGAATAGCTTAGAAATGATCCACCATCATCATTTGTGGCTTAATGCATTAATAACAACCTTTATGAATGGCATTTTACAATTAGAGGTCCAGAAGATTCAGATTATTCAGAAGGGATTTATCATGGAAAAATAGAGCTTCCTGTTGATTATCCAATTAAACCTCCAAACATTTTTTTTCTTACTCCAAATGGAAGATTTGAAGTAAAAACAAAAATTTGTTTGAATATAACTAAATTTCATCCTGAAAATTGGAATCCTAGTTGGACAAGTAATATTATTATATATATTTATTTAGTTAGAACTATGATAGAAGGAATAATATAACATTTCCATGTGAAAGATTTTGCAGTAGGTTCAATTCAATATACATCTAATTAAATAAAAAGCTTAGCTTAAGCAAGTCATAAATGGGAATGTGATTTATGTGGTCCAATTGTTAAATTAATTTCTCCTAAAATAAAACAAGAAAAAAAAGAGGAATAGCCATAATCTAAAAAAGATGAATAATTTTAAGTTAGAAATGATGATTAAAAGACTGAAAATTCAAGCACATAAAATACGAAAAATTAAGATCAGGATTAATTTAAATCTCAATAAACAAAAGAATAGGTATAATAATAATAAAGTTATTTGTTTAAATAAACAGAATAAAAATAAAAGAAAGAAAGTGATAAAAGAAAAGAGATATAAAAGAATGATTATTCTGATGATGAATAAGAAATTCCTATGACTAAAAAATAGACTGTAGAATTAGAAAAGCTTCTTTGGAAAGCTATGAATCCAGATATATTGTAAGCTCATTTTTAATTAAGAACTTAACTTTAATAAACAGATAATCTTCATCCATAATAACTCTAATATTTTGATTAAAGTAATTATTATATATGATTTAATAATTAGTTTATAAAATGATGGAAGAAGAAGAGAAAGTATAAAAGTCTTTAGTGCTTAATAAATAAAAAGAAGAAGATATTAATAAGAAAGAAGATGAGAATGAAATTGAAAAACCATAAACAAATAAATAAAATAAATATTCATCTTAGATTATGTTGATAAATATAATTCTATTGACTTTAATATTTGGAATTGTATTTGTAAATTTTGGAGAATTAATTGAATAGAAAACTTAGGAATGGTTATTAGTTAAATGAAATTTATTATTTTAATATAATATTGAATGTAAATCATGATATCATTTGTCTAAATACTGATTTAGTAATAGGTTGATCCTTAACATTAGTATATTATATCATAATCTTCATATCTTAATCAGTCAATCCAAATTTGTATTTCTAATTGGCTGCTTTTAATCCTTCAAAAGTGATTTTCCCTTTACCTTATTCTAAGACTTCATAAATGCAATCAAAGTTTTCTGGTTCAGACAATTCAAAGTTAAATTGCTATGAAAATTCATCTTAATCTAATTTCTAATTTTTCCTTCTTTGTAATTTTTTTAATAATAAGGAACATTATTCTCCACAAGCAGCTTCAACTACTGGAATAAAGTCTTCTACAATTAGTTTTTCTTCAAAAGCATCAACAAATTCTTAGTATAATTATTACACTTCTGGAGTTTATGAATAATCGAACTCTTTTTGTTAAAACATTGTTTAGAATAATTAAATATTTAGATATCATGATTAAATATTCACCTGATGGCCTAGTAAAATAATAATAAAATATATTAGAAATGCCTTATAGGTGCAGTGTTGGTAAAAGCAGGATAAGCACTATTAATGACATGGGGAAAATCTAATGTTTATTATTATTCATATTTCAAAATGAATGATCCTGAGTTGTCAGTTTCCTACAACACATTACCTATAGCATTAATGGGTATACCATTGGCAATTGCATCAGTCTATTCATTAAAGATAGCTGATAGAATAGGTTACGAGAAACTAATAATAATTACAACATCATTATAATTTTTATCATTCCTCCTAGCGTTACACGCTAACTCTTATTTGGAATTCATATTATTTTATTTGGGTTTTATTGGTTTAGGATATGCATTATTAGCATTTCCATTGTTGAAATGTCTATGGAGTCACTTTTCAGAGGAGGAAGGTATGGTAACAGGAATTTTATTTGGAGTATTTGGATTTGCTACATTTTTCTTTTTACTTTTGGTTACATATATAGTGAATCCTAATAATGAAGAAGCAACTTTATCAGTAATGTATTAATTAATTACATAGATGCAAGTAGGTTCATAGTAGTATCTCTACTTTTCAGAACATGTTGCAGTAAATACACATTAAGCAATAAAATATGCTGGATTTATAGCAGGTACTTTAAGTGTTTGTGGCAGTCTATTAATAAATTAAAGAAAATTGGAAGTGGCAGAAGAGTAAGAATTATAAATTTTGACCAGTGAAATCTAGAATATCAAAATTACTCAAAATGATCCTCTTTTATAAGTTGTTAGAACTCCATAATTTAAAATAATTTTAGGATCTTACTTTACTGTTTTCTTTTTTGAAGTAACATTGGGATTAAACTATAAAACATATGTATTAGAAAAGGTAAATTGATATATTTAGTTTAAGAGATTAATAATGATCAATTGATTACATGGGTTGACACACTTGGTATTATACTTGGATCAATTGCTAATTTCGTCTTTGGTAAGATGGCTGATTCGATTATATTCTCTGTCTTGTTACATAAATTATTAATAATGATGAGTATAATAGCTGTAATGATTCCTATTTCATTGAATATATCTAAAGATTTATTCATTATTGGTAATCTTTTAAATTGTATTAATAGATTATTTATTATTATCAATTGTATCTAAAGGAATAATTGTAATATTAGGACCAGGATTACTTTAAATATTTGGTAAAAAAACAGGTGCGGATATACTCCCTATTGTTAATTTTAGTGGATTGTTGGGCTTCATCATATCAGCTCTATCAATATTGTTAATAGTTCCAATATTGAGATTTGATGGCACATTTATTTTCTAAGGTTTGTTAATTGGATTAGCTGCCTATAGTACTAAAAAGCTCAATTAATGAATGATTATAATATCCATTTATTCCAACTAAAATTTAAAATAAATAAAATAAACATGACTAGTTATGTAATCAGTGCAGCAGATCAATTAATCATTCAATAAGGTAGAATCAACTATCCAACTACTAGGAATACCATTTGATTGTGAACTTGTACATCCAGGAAAATCTTGTGAAATGAACATTTTATCTAAGTATAATTAGAAATAACTTTATAAAGTCTTCCTAGAATCATGAGATCTAATTCTAAAGTGTATTTGCCAGTTCATTTAATCCCATTTCTACTTTACAAACGAAAACAATTTATTAAAAAGTATCAACAATATCATTAATAAAATAGTCCTATATCAACTATAAGTAGAGCACTTGTTTCATATTTTAAAAGCATATGTTTCCTCTCATTTATGGTTCAAATTCTTAGATATAATTGGTGCAAACAAAAAAATCTTCTTAAAAAGGTAGATCCATTTGTTCCATTATCTGGTGGTTTTATAAGTTCATTTGCCCTTCTTCTTGAATCTAATACTAGGTATTTATGAAAAATAAATGTAGAGCTATGGAAATATGTTTAAGTATTGTTCCAAGATTTTGCGAAACAGTCATAAACCTATTAAAAAGTAGAGGAAAGATGATAGATATTCCTCGTGGAGATGTTATTGTTTTTTCATTTGTTATTGCCATTATACATTATTATTATTAACATGATGTAAGATTGCTTATTAATATTAGCCAAAATCTTTAAAAAGCACATATTATAAAGTATTTGAGAAAATATGGGGAATAAATTGATTATATAATTTATGTTTAATAGAAATGATTAAAAAATTATTGATTTAGATATGTTATACATTGATGATATAAAATAAACTAGATTTAAATATTTGTAAAAATTGTCAAACACTAATTAAAAATTATTATAATATTTTAATAATTAATTTCATATTACATTGCTAAAATATTCAATAGTTTTCCATGAAATGATTCATTACAATAGATAATATATGTATAAATTTATTCATCAATTTAAGATTCTTCTTTTTGTTTTTTAAATGTACTTAATTACCTATAGTTCTGAATGTTTATCATATTATTATTTATGTTTTTTTAATTTATCATGTTGTAATTTCATCATTGTTATTTTTTCTTGTATTTTTTTTATTTGATTTTTCTCATTATATCCATAATCAACAGAAGATCCATTCTATTGATTATGAGAATTAGATGATTCAATATTTAAACCAACAATGAATTCATCTAAAAATTATCTACTTTCTAATATTGTTGTATTTTCTTCAGGTGGTAATTACATCAATAATTTGAGTTACTATGTTAATTTGCACTTTGATTCTCCAACATAATTACTACATAACAATTTTGAACATTCAATAGTATCAGCTTATATGAGACATTTCAATTAAATAATATTGTATTTCATATAAACTACATCTTCATCATCAACATAACAATCAGGACAATAAATTACCCAATCTTTAATATATTGAAAGAATATAAATATTTCTTTCTAGCATTTAGCACAAATCAATACATCTTTTGAGGATTTAGATAATTCAAAATGAGTTATATGTTTTTTAGATAATTAACGTTAAAGTTCTTCATCTATAAAATAATTCAAAAATTCTTTTAAAATACATAACTTCTCATGAATATAAATATCTAAAAATAAATTTCTAATTGCTATCACACTCTAAAATTTGTAATGATCATTCTTAATTTATCTTATATATATTTGTTACAAAGAAAAATCATCCATCATTAAGAAATTAAATGATGTATGAATTGAATTTCCAATATTTTTAGCTTAAAAAAAGCATCCAGGTCCAATAATAAGAATATCACCTTATTTTTAGATTATCTATTTAACAGGTATTTTATTTTATAAGAAATATACAATATTGACATACCATCTTCCTTCTTTCAAATACAAATCAGGCATAATATTAAATAATTTATCTACATGATTTGCATCAATAATTGTCCATACACAATCTCCTGGTCCATGATTTATATTAATTTAACTCAAACCTTAAAAATCCTATTAACCTCCAATCCAACAATTTTATACTCTCATATATATTTCTGGTACATTTGCTCCTTTACAATTCTATCTTAAATAATTCAATCCATTATTAATTGAAAAGAAATTTGGAAAAAAATCAAATAATCTATGTATTTCATCTTTCCATTTCTCCATATCAACATTTACTGCCTAATAAACTTTATCTTTTTTATAATATGGATTGTTTTTAAAAAATGTATTAGGATCTTCAGCATAATCTTTGTATTACTTTACTGTCATTGCAAAAGCTTAATAAAAATTTTCATCTTTTGCTTCTGTAGTATCTGTTAATGGATTTTGAGCCCTAATATCCATTCCATAATTTTTATGATTTTTAGACATATCTTAAAATGTGAATAAATTTTTATTCAATTTATTTATTACATCATTTGGTAAAGACCATAATATTATTTAATCTTTAATCCATTTTTCTGGTGATTATGTAAAACAATTGATTGCTTTATCAAATTCTACATATGCACATCTCTATAGATATTTTCCATCTATATTTAATAAATTCAATTCATAATTTAATAAGTATTTATGAAACAAATTCAAAATTTCATTGTTATCTTATGATTCAAATTTATTGTACTATTATGAGTAATACTATATATAGTTAATTATGTTTACTTTAATAAATCCACCTTATTGTTGAATATATTGGTATAATTCTATTATTTCTTTAGAATTCAATAATTCTAATTCTTTAATAGTTGGTTTGAAATTTTTCTCTATATATTCAATATACATCTCTAATAATGAATTAATTATTAAAGCTCATCTATTTTGTATCATCCATTTTTCATTCTAATATTTAGGTAAAATAATATAAAATATAAATTTAAAAGTGATTCTTAAATTATATTTTATGTAATCTAAATTAAAATAGATTAGAATTAAATATTGTTCAATTTATTTTTTGAATAACATAACTTATCATATATAATCTAAATAAGATTTTATAAGTGAAATTAATAGATATTATTATACACATCTATATTTGAATATATATTTAATAGAATTTGATTCTCATTTCTTCTTGGTCTATTGGGTATTATTACTGGGTTTTTTTATTGCTATAGATTGTTAAGGAACTTATGCTTGAGTAGGCATCTTTTCATTAACTATATCAGCATTTCTGGCTACATTGAAATCAGCAAGTGCTACAATTATTTATATAAAAATACCATCAGAAATAGCTGTTTTACCAGCTGATAGTATACCTTTAGGTAATCTTTTATCAGGACAAGCTCCTTTTAATTTCATAACACTTTCACTTTCTTCTCTTAATGTTTTTTATAATTTCATCATAGTAGCTACGAATTTTAATTTATTTTTCAATTTTTCAGTACCTAATAAAAATAATAACAATTTCATTTACTTTTTCCAGTAGAACCACCTGATTATTATTTATTAAACTGTTTATTTTGATTGGTCATTTATTTAAATTACTCTATATCTTCTTAATTAACATCATCATCATCATCACCTTAATCTCCTGCTTAAATTAGATTATAAAGCATTTCAGTAATTTTCTCAGCCACAAAAGGTATTGACCAAGTAAATATATCCATAAAATTTGGTAGTAAATATGGATGTGGAGTATATTAAAATTATTAAATATTTAAAGTATTATTCTATTATTTTTTGATAATTAATTATTACTTCAAATTTAATAACTGCTCCTCTATTATTATAAACATCACAATAATTAGGGGCACTAAAAATAGTAATAACAACTGGAAAATCTTATCCACCATTCCATCTATGCATTTTATATCCATCAAGTTATGCCTATTTAAAATATAATTGAATTACTTCATGAGCTCTTATGATACTAATAAGACTGTTTCTTTATAAGAATTTCATACTTGCATCAATTCCAAAGAACCAACTACATCCACGAACTTCATTACTTTTCCATTGTCCATCTAGATTACCTTGATCATGATCTACTGGATCACTCCATAATAAATCACAAAATAGTCCACTACGAGGTGGTTCATGATATCTATCTAATTTTTTTACATCTTCAATCTTATTATAAATCAAAATATTACTGATTTTAAATCAGGTGAGATTCCACCATGAATTGCAATAAATTTTGAATTTATTATACATGCTAATGGAAATAGATCAAAAGAATCCATTAACATATCATAAGTTTCCTAATCATATTTATATAGACCTATCATTTCATCCATAATTACATTCATCTTTAAAATTAAAAAATGCTGTCAGTTATCTACATTCATGATTTCCTCTTAAAAAATAAACAGTATTAGGATAATTAATTTTAATCGCATAAAGTAAAATGACTACTTCAATCGAATATGAACCTCTATCTACAAAATCTCCCAAAAAGAGATATCTAATATAATTAAATTATTTTACTTTGTAGTTTCTGGGTTTCCACCAACTTTTGGTTCCAATAATTTAAGTAAGTCATAATATTATCTATTTAAATTTAAGAATTTACCCATGAATATCACCAACAACAGTAAGGGGATCTTACAAATATAGAACATTTCCCTCATTTTCTAACAATCAAAATGTCAGTTTACTCAATAATTTATTGCAATCAGCTACTAATTTAAATAATTCCTCTTTTGCTACTCTTCCTTCTCTTTATAAATGATCTTTCAATAATTTCCAATCAGGTTTGTCTAAAATATTTTATTTTAATGACATACTTTTTAATTTATCTGGAAACATTAGATTTTTTGAGAGTGGTCTATGAGGAGGAGGCTTTAGAGTCTTCACTTATCTATCATTAGCAGGGTCTTTAAGACTATCCATTTGATATTTATAATATATATAATATTTATTATTATTAATACTTATTCTTCATCAGATGCTCAACTTTTACAATTCTGATCTCAATTTATTTACTCTTGATAATAAAGAGCAATCCAAGAATTTATTTCCTGAATACATTTGTAATCCTCCTAAAATAGATGGATCTACTTTGTATTAAACAGAAAATTGCATATTAGGACTTGATTCTTTTAAGGCCTATATTACTTATGATCTAATTATAATTAATATATATTTACTTTTATTCTTCAGACAAGTTTTCAGCAGAAATAATCGTAATATTTTCTTCCTTATTAAAGATTCTATAATATTCGATATATTTATCAGCTGTCTTAGTTAAATAAGAAATTCTTTGACTATCAATCATAGTATTTAATAAATTCTAAGTGACTTCATGAAATCCTTCCTAAAATATGATTAATTTTATTTACTTTTGTCAGAGCTTGAATAACATTTCTTTATTGGTTTCTCTTGTAGGCTGAATTCACTAAAAAGCCTGCAAATACTGGACTCTTTTCAGCTAATTCCTTAAAGTATTTCATGTCCTATAACACTAAATGAAGTGCCTCTCTTTATGATGCTATTGAGAATAACACTCCTGCATATTTTCCTTACACAGTATCTTCAAAAGTAGGAGGCTTATGTCCTAAAATCATTCTATAATATTGATACCTGGAACTGATTTTATTTCAGCCTCAGCCTTTGCAGTGGCAGCTGAATATCTGAAACAGGCTCTTTGAATAATTTTAAACATTATTTAATTAATGATTTTATCAACTAGGATTCTATAGTGTTTTTCTTCTGAAAAGAAGATCCTTAGATTTATCAAAACATGTAGTAGTCCCAAAGAAATCTATTAAATCTATCATAAAAATTAGGAACATTTTACACCTTTATTATTTCTTGAAGCTTTGAAACATATGAACACAAATCCAGTTAGAAAGAGATTTGATCTTAATGATGATACTGCATTTTATGATGAATTAACAGAAGTATTTAAATAAGTGCCTATGTAAGAAAAATGGAGATTTTGTAAAATTTATAATCTTATTATTAGATAGATGTGCAAGTTGCTAAAATAGGAAGAAATAAATTATTAATCAAATAATATGGAAGTGACTTGACATGTATTAGAGTAAAATAAATTGCTATTCTCTTATGGGGTTATCATAAAAATGGTATCAAAAAGCCTAGATTGGTGATTCATTTGATTGATCAATTACAATAGAATTTAGATTCTCTAATTCCAGTTTCAGAGAAACCAGAGGAATTATAATCACTAAAAGAAAATTAAAAATAAGAAAATCAAGAAGAAAATGAAATAAATTAATCTGATGAGGATGAGAACTTTTTAGAAGAATAATTAGAGGAAGATTTACAATCTGAAAAAAGAGTTCTTAGAGACTTTAGATTTAAATTCAAAGATTTGGTTCTCATTATTTGGGCTATTCAAGATATTAAGTTAGATGCAAGTGCATTATTAATATACACATTTAAATTAGCCATAAATAATTTTAATAAAAAAGACTTAATCACAAATAGATCATTAATTCTACTCTTATAAGCAACTATCAATATTAAAGATAATAAATAAATTAATGCTGTACTTATTTCAATTTAAAATAGTATTAAAAACTTGTAATTCAAAATCTATCTGAATAAGACCTTTCTAATGAAGGTATACTTTAGTTACTTTTACTGTTGAGAACATTAGGTTAATTGAAACTAAGTCCAGAATTTGCTTAAAAATTAGCATATATTATGTTGAAAAATTAAGAGAAATCTAATTAGCCATTTTCTTCAAAGTTTGCTTCTATAATGATTTGGAATTTGAATAAGTATATTGAAATTTTTATATATTTAAAGACTTGCCATTACAGATACTGATATTTACAATAGATTAGGATTACATTTAACAAAAAGTAATGAATTTAAAGCTATGGATATCAGTTAAGCTATTTTGATTTATTCTGTCCAATAAACAAAATCTCCTTAATATTATTAATATTAATTCATTTTAAGATCATTAATAAGCAAGGCAAATATGATTAAATTAGATCCTAGAAGTCAAAGCATTATTAAAGAATCTTTAGAGTAATATTAACCCCATTTGATTAAATTATTAAAAAAATGAGTTCATATGTTTATATATATTTCAAATATAATAAATATAATTTCCATATATAAAAAGATCTCATAGTTTATATTAAAAATTGATTGTTTAAATTTATAATGACTAATTAAAATCTTTAAATTCATAAATTTAAAAAGAACTAGAACATTATTAAAATTGAAAATTAGAGGATAATAAAATTCTTAAAGTGATTTTATATAAATATTAATAGATAAAAATATCTTTAATTTTTATTAAAAAATTAATATATATTCTGAATTTATGGTTAAATAGAGAATTCAATTATATTTGTATAATAATAAATTTAAAATCATTAATAAGAAAGAATTTTAAATTCAATATCTTCTTTTAAGTTATCTATGTTTTATTTTCATTTCATCTATTAATTTCATTACTCCTTAATTATTTTAAGAATATTCATTATGAAAAGTATTAGCATTTTTTGTTTTTTTTTATCTATTTTATAAAAGATTAAATGGATTTTATATTTTATCTAATTAAAGATTATCCAAACTATTTTTTGGAGAAATCTATTAAGAAATACTAGGTAGATTATTCTTTTTCTTCATTTTTTTATCCTAAAATTAATAGAAATATTCTACAATTATAGATAAAGGCGTTAAATACATGGCAGGTTATTTTTTATTTGTTATTTTTCTTAACATTTTTTCCATATAGAGTGAAACTTATCGTTTTTTAATACTAGAATTTTAACTATTTATCACTGTACTAAAATGTTCATTATTAAATGATAATTTCTCCTTTATTGAATCTATTTCAAAACAATCTGTAGCATTCCTTCTAAATTTATACTATATTTATTAACCTTATTATATTCTCAGATGCATTTGGAGACTTAGGAGATCTATGAGAATGTGCTGATTAAATTATCATTGTCCCTCGTTTAACATTCATTTAAGGATTTCTAAGAAATTGTTATAGATATCTCTGTCTTTTATGTTTTCTTATTTATTCTGATTTATAAAAAACTAAAAACTAGGCTGCATATCCAGCTATTCTAAATCGCTTAAATACTCTTTTCCTTCTTGTATAACTTAGAAAAAAAATAGAATTTTGACATACGCTGACTCAAATGAAGATATTTAACTCCATATTTTAATCTAAAACAAGCTCATCTTTCCACATTAACCACAATTACAACTTGTATTACATTTCTTATTATCATTATTACTTTGATTCTTTATTAGAAATCTTTCAAGATCATTATATCTGGCAGTTTTCAACCTATTCTTAGATTCTTTAGAAATACTTTTAGTGTATTTCAATTGAAAATTTTATCTAGGTGAAATTAATCTAAATATTTATATCCTAATACCTTGAAGTACTTTAAACTATCTTTTATTATGGTTATTATTTCATTTTAAACTAATATAATAATAATAATAAATCAATAGAAAAAATTAAATTAGACATAATAAGATGTTCTTAATAAAACATTAAAATACAATAATTTATTGAGTTATTTTAGCCTTTTTAGAATTGTATGTAAATAAAGTTTAATTTATATTGCAACAAGACAATATTGAATGGATAATAAAATAAATCAATATTTAGTATGGACTATAGAATATTATGATATAAATCAATTAGATATTAAAATATCATTTTGTTTCTTCTATTATTAAAATGGAGCTAGTTCCTTTTATTTAAGAAATTTGCTAATACCTTTACTAATAAATCTATTTCTTCTCTAAGTGAATCAAATGTTGTTTATGTTTCGACTCTTTATTTACAAAAATCTTCATTCAATTATCTAGATCACATATATATATATATACTTTAAATGTTATCTAAGTCTTTTATTTTCATCATTTACTTATTTGTATTTTGTCGTTAACTTTTGGTGTTTGAGTTTGTCAGTCTCTGATAAAGCTTAAGGGTCATTCATAATTTTTTCCAATTCACAATTAAGTGCCTATAAAGATTCTTTACATTTTTAATATGATGCTTAAAGTGAACGATTATCTTCCATTAACTTTTCTAAGTCTTACAAATTAAAAGCTTAAGATGATCCAATTAATCTTACAATTTTAGATCAATCTAACACAAAATTCTTTGCCAATTTTTGATGGAATTTCAAATAATTCATAAGATTAAGATGATATACACAATGTTTATTTTAAAAGTTTATCCTTAATGCTTTATTAAATATCATACAATCTGATTTTCATGTCTTACTTAAAAGGCTGGTAGCAGAATAGAAACGTAAATTCCTTCAGGCATTATTATTATAATTATGTTAATTATTAATATTTTATATTAACTTAATTTATATTGAGATTATAATTAAATAGATGTTCTAAAACAATATAATTTAATAACATTCAATTCTTATATCTACAAGATTTCTATGTATTTTCTAATTCAGTAGTCAATTTTCCTTTTGCTTAAAGTAGTTTACCAATCAAAAACTTAATTTCATTATTTATATGTACACTTTTTGATGGCTACTAATTCTCTTTATTCTATTAATACCAATTTAATTTACATATTTAAATGAAATAGAATCATTTTAAGTAGATTCATCTTAATTTATATATCGTGCCTTAATTTATTAAATATGATTAATATGATTATCATTCATTCTCAAAGTTGTTTAAGGTTATTATTAATATAAACTATATTTAAGATTATTTAATTGACCTTAAGTAAAAGAAGGAACCTTAAAATGAGAAAATGAAGTGTTATGAGTTTTTTATTAAGTAGATATTGAAGTATTTTAATTTTAATAACTTTAATCTGTTTATCCTAATATTTTACTTAAGTTTGTTGTTGAATTAATACTATGAACTTTAGTTCCTTATTATGAATATGATCTTCTTTGATCAACTTCATTATTAAATCTAGTTGTTTATTGATTAGATAACTTAAATCTAATGTATTCATCTCCATTTTCTGTTTCTTCTTTCATTATACTTGCATCTTATAGATATGAATTAAGATTTAAATTATTTGAAGGAAGAGAATTAGTTGATTAAGATTTTGCTTTTTTGCTCATCATTAAATTAAAATCTTCAATAGGCATAGGTAGAGTATCATGATTATTAGCCTTGACTTTTTCAAATGATTAATTATTTTTTGGAGGTTAAAGTGATTATTTTTAAATAGATGTTATTGAATTCTTTGGTTATTAAAAAGCTTATTTAAAATCAGGTTATGAGATATGGAAACTTTTACATTAAACTGGACTATCTTAAGAAACCATAGAATTTCTAATTTTATTCATATCTACACTTTTTTTTTTTGAAGTACTATCATAATTATTAGTATTTCTAAAATATATATGAAATTTGTATTTACATTCTTTAATCATCAATTTATTTATTTAACATTTTCTTTTCATATTAAAATTAAACTTATTGTTCATACATCTCTTATTTTAAAGTTGCAATTTATTCATCATATTTTTATTGTAATTATTGAACTTCTTAATTAGATTCAATATGAGTTTAATATTTTTTAATTGTATTTTGACTTCGAATTAATCTTTATTGTAATTATTCTTTTTCTTTTTCATATAATTATGCTAATTATTAATATCTTTAATCATAATCTGATTATTTTTCTTACATATCCTTAAAGAAATTATCTTTTATTTTTTGAATTTCTTATTCACACTATAATTTAAATACTTATTCTTTAGATTTAAAATTTTCTTCTATTTTTTATATTTATTCTTTGAATTTCAAAATTTCTTAATTTAAATATTATTTCTCTGATTCTAAACTTTAAATTTTATGATCATAAGTAATTTATTATTTTTATTGCTATAATTCAAGATCTTTAATTTAAGTTTCTTTCTCATTTAATTATTCATTTAGACATCTAAGCTAAAACTTATGATTTTATAATACTTTTTCTTCCAATTTTGTTATACTTTCAGAATGTTTTTTATTATTTGCCATTTAGACTTCAATAGATTTTTGAAATTCTGTATAACTTTTTTGCTTAATATAATAGATTTTGAATGATACTTATGATTTTCCTGAAATATCTATAGCTTAAGTTATGGTATCATTCAATTTCTTTTAATTCATTTCTCTTGTTTTATAATCCTCCAATTACATTTCCAACAATTATATTTTTTATTCATACAAAGCCTTATCCTTTTTCCATTCATTCTCTCTCAAAGCATACTAATAATATAAATAATATTCTGTTACATTTTTCTTTAACTAAATATATTCTTCTTATTCATTATTTTCCATTCAAATTTAACGATTAATTAGAAATTATAAAATATAAGAAAAATTAATAAGAATAGATGAATATAATGATTATATATAATATTTTTGATATAATTCTTTGTTATAAAATAAACTCTATGCATTATTTTATTAATATTTTTAAATCAAAAAAAAAGATGATTGATCTTGACCAAATCAAATTAGAATAAATTAATGATTTTAAGGCAATACAATTAATTACTTTTGTATCATAGAATAATAAATTTGAACTCAATAATGAAGCAGCCTAATTCTTGAGTTAATTGAAAGGAAATATAGCATTTGTTGTTATATGTGGAAAATATAGGACAGGTAAAAGCTTTCTTTTGAATAAACTTATTGATGTTTAGAATGAAGGAGTAATCATTTTTTTTGCTAATAGATTCAGTTTTAAGTGAGTCCATCTACCAATTCTTGTACTTAAGGTATCTGGTTATACACAAAACCTATTATTAATAAACAAAGCAATCTTTAAATTTATTTTTTAGACACAGAAGGTAGTGAATCAGGAGTGAAATCATAAACTCATGATGCCAAAATTTTTGCTTTGGCTATTTTAATGAGTAGCACTTTTATGTTCAATTCTATAGGGTGTATTGATGAGTAATCAATTATTTAACTTCATCTAACTACATTACTGTCAAAGAATATTCAAGTTTAAGATCATGATAACAATAATAATGAAAATATATTGGGTTATTATACACCTAAATTTATATGGTTATTGAGAGATTTTGTACTTGAAATGAAGGATGGTTAAAATAGAAAAATAACTCCTAAAGAATATTTAGAATTAGCTTTGCATGATGATCGTTAATATCAAAGTGAAAATTCAAAAAAGGTTAGGAAGACTTTGTTAACATGTTTTAAAGATAGAAATTGTTTTTAATTCGTAAGGCCAGTGATAAATGAAAATGAATTATAAAGGGTTAATTAATTATCCAATAACCAATTAAGGGAAGAATTTCAATAATAAGTAAAGCCGTCAATACTAGTATAAGGTAACTCAATTCAGGGAATATTTATTGAAGAATACATCTCCTAAGTAATTGAATGGAGTAAATTTAAATGGAAGAATGTTCTGTAAAATGATTGACACTTTTATATCAAATTTTAATAAGGGAAAGGTTCCTATTATATCGACAGCTTGGGAACATATTGTAGAAACTGAATGTTAATAAGGATTGGCTTAAGCAAAATAATTGTATGAAACTAATCTTAAAAAATATTTTGGAGCAGATGAAGCTAAATCTTTTGAAGAAATATTTTAGATATTAAAAAAAATAAGAGATGAATCATTTCAAACATTTCATTATATAGCAGGTATTAGAGAAAAGAACAATCATTTTGAAGAATACAAGAAAAAGCTATTAGATTTTATGACTGAAAAAGAAAATTTAGCGATAAGATTAAATGATGATATGAATAATACGTATTTGATAATTATTAAGAGATTAGGAAGAATGAAGAAGTTATTGCTGAAGTATCTTAAAAATTAAAAGAGAATTTAGATTAAGAAACTTTTACTATTGATAATTTAGAGGTCTTCTTTTAACATTTTAATGAGTAATCATATAAATAAATATTTTTTAGATTTCTTACTGCTTATGATAAAAAATCAGCAGGAACTGAAAAGGCTAATACATTAATACATTTTTTATAAAATCACCATCCTATCATAGTAAAATAGTTAGTTAATTCTATTGTGTAAATATTCATTCTTTAAATGTTTATAGATAAAAGTATAGCAAAAATAAAAATTAAGCTGAAGAAGAGAAGGCTGTTTAATAAGTTAAAGAAAAATAATTATTGGATAATATCAAAATATTGGAACAGAATATATAACAACATGAAACAAAAATAAAGAAATTAGATCAAGATAAAGTGTAATTAGAAGCTTAAAAAAAATAATTATCAGATTAATTAAGTAAATTGTAAACTGAAAATAAAACAATTAGGTATTTGAATTTACAATTATTTTAGAGATAATATAAAGGATGTAGATGAATTATAAAATGTAATATTATAAAAGAATGAAGAAATACAAAATCTTAGAAAAATGATTACTGTAAAGATTTATTTATTAATTATTAGTCATTGTAAACTAAAAAGAAAAAAGGTTGTTGTGGATGAAGATGATTTTAAACTATATTATAATATTTTATGATATCAACTATTTTATGTATTATTTATTTTATTTAAAAAGTATTTGGATAGATTTACACAGAAATTATTAATATATTTAATAACATTTGATGGATTATACAAACTAAAAACATCCATAAAATTATTCATAAATGGAAGATTTAAAAACATTAGATTTAGAAGAAAGTGTTTCTGAGACTATTGTAATTCAAATAATTTATTTAGATGAGAGATTTGAGAATGATAGCATATAAATTGAAGTATGTTTTAATTCCAAAAGAATAAGAGGACAATGGAAAAGAATTACGAAATTGTAAATTCTTTATATATATTAAATAGGGGATTTATGGGGACCTTTAATTTTTTGTTTAGCTTTAGCTATGTAAATAACTATTCTATTAAAGGACTCTAAGTTTCAAGGCTGATTCTACAACTACTAGTTCAAAGTCTGATGTTTTTGCTATTATTTTTGTTCTTATTTGGGTTGGTGCATTTGTTGTTACATTAAATGCTTAGTTATTAGGAGGAAAAGTGTAATTAATATCCTTTTATTAAATAGTTCATTTTTCTAATCTGTATGTTTATTGGGTTATTGTGTATTTCCAATTAATATAGAAGCAATAATTATTGCATTTATTGGATCCTACTTACCATTTGTAGTGAAATTAATTCCAGTAATCATTTGTTTTGCATGGTCTGCATATTGTAAAATATAAATTAATTAATTATAGCATCTGTTGGTTTTATGGCATCATTAGTTCCACCACATAAAAAGAAATTAGCAGTTTATCCTGTATTTTTATTTTATTTGTTTTTATCATGGTTTTCTTTGATAGTATGATTTTTATATATTTATATATACATAAATATTAATCAGATTCTTCTAATAAGTAATCCCATATCCCATTGAGCATTTAATCTTCTTTTATCTAAAGTCTCAAAAACTCCAACTCCATTAGGCAATCCATTCATAAATACACAAGTAACTTTTTCTCCATTACTTAATTCTAATTAACCAAATCCACAAAATTCCCCTTCTTTAAAATCACCCATATAATGAATCCATTATTAACCTAATTTTGTAAAATCTTTGTAATCAAATAAACTATTGAAATACTTTGGATTTGGATTAGTTGCTTTACCATAACCATCATATTCTCCATATTTGAAAGAACCTTCATATATGAGTTTACCATTTTAATACAATGTACCTTTTCCATTATATTTATCATTTTTCCAACAACCATCATAAGAAAATTCATTTGATACATATTATCCTAAACCATCTCTTAATCCATTCAAAACTTCACCATAATAAGTACCACCATCATTACAATTCATTTTTCTTTTGTTTCTATTTTCTACTATTAAATTATTCTTTGTAGTAATTTCTTTAATGTCTTCCATTTATGGTTTAGACTATGGTTCTCCAATAGGAGATATTCTAAATGAGTTTACATGAGAATAACTCACATTCTTTGAATTTGCTCTTGATTTTGTAATTTTAGTTTCAATTCTTTATTAAACTTCAAAATTGTAAATTATATTTATAGGCTATATAGGTTATAATTCACTAATTTTAGCTTCCAACCTTATCCAATCTGGTCTAATATCTTAATTAGTAGTTAACATGAATTGTAAATATTAAACCAATTTATAAGAATAATTAGTATCAACTTCTTTGATTAATTAATTTAATCTATATTCATCAAATACATTTTAATATATCTCATAAACATTTTCATATTTATGAGGTCCTAAGCATAACTATAAAATACATAATCCTAATTAGAAAACATCAGATTTCCATGATGGCATTGCAGATTAATCATTCATTAAAAATGAATTGTATAATTCATTACTTAATAATATTTTATTTTGTTAATTTTAAAATTTCTTTTAAAGTACATTAGTTTCTTAATTTCTATATATAAGTTTATATAATTATGAATTATCTATTAAATGAGTTAAAACAATATGATCTAAAGTTACATTACCATGAACTATGCCTTTTAAATGTAATGAATATAATGCTTCAACCATATTTTATAAAATCAACCAAATTTCATGTTCTTAATAATGTTTATGTTTTATTGTACTTTCACAATCAGAATGAATATAATCTAATAATACACATACTCTAAATGTTGCAAAACACATACAAACATATTTTTTAGTATGAATTAAATGAATATTTATTAAATTAGCATGAGTTAATTATTATTTTTACAATTACAATTATTTTTCCTATTATTCATATATTGTATATTTATCAAAAATAAATACACGTAAACTTAATTTATATGATGGATTCAATTTATGAGTTAAAATATAATGTTAAAGATTAAGATGATCATTTTACAATTCAGAATCAACATCAAAATATTTATAAAGTAAAGGCATTTGTGGTTCATTTAAAGATTAATGAGAAGGCATAGTTTTCAATATTTAATTGCATGATTCATCATATTTCATTTTCAAATAATTTGAGTCATATTATGTTTTTAATTGTTATTGTTATTATAAAAACTATTATTATTATTGGAACAATAATTGCTATTATTCTAATTATTACTATTAAAGTAATTATGCTTATTAATCTAATTATTAATCCTATTATTGTTGTTATTCAGGTACAATTGTTTAAAATTATTAATTGTAATTGTCAATGAGTTATTATTATTAAAGCAGAAATTGATTTTATTAAGGTTATTAAACAGTAGTAAAGAAAGATTGTGATTGATGTATGGGTAAAATATTGACTGACAATCCTAACAGCTCTTCTTGTTATTTTTGAGACCAAGTTTTTATCAAAAATTGTTATTCTGGAGATAATCTATTGAAATCAAGTGGTGGAGTATTTGAATTACGACTTGTTTCTAATGGTTGCAGTCTTTATGATTATGCCATACTTTGTTTAGATGAATCATTTAATGTTTAATTGAATTATCCTAAAAACATATAATTAATAATATGGGAAATTGTTAAAGTCAATGTTATCAAAAGAGTGCTAGTTAAGTTAACAGCGTTGATTGTACTAAATTAATTATTCATGTAAAAACATGGCAAAAAGAAGCATTCTCATTATTTGATTATGAGAATGCTGCTAATGTTTAAGAATAAACTTTTTAGGTAATTAAATACAATTAAAACGGCAGATTAATTCTGAAGGATATTTAGTAGGTCGAAACTAGGTTGAATGGACTGAAAATGAATCTATTATCAAAGATTAACTTTGCAAAATAAAGAAAAAAAATGAAAATTACTATTTAGTAAATTCATTTGTTATGAATGAAGATTAGAAATCAGTAATTTAAGAAAATGAAGAATGTCATACTATTGGAAATAAGTAATAACTATATATTTATTTTATAGAACTGTGTCTGGAAAAATAGGTAATAAAATTTGGAAGGTTATTCATGAAAATGGAATTCCTTTAAAGGAAGGAGATGTAATCAAATTGGGAAGAGTCAAATTCACTATACGATCTATTGTTTTAGATGTTCAACATGTTCAATCCATTTTAGAGTTTGAATCACAATAATCAAATGTCTCTGATTAATAAATGTGTAGGATCTGTTGTTCCTCTTAGTAAACTGCTAAGAATCCTCTTTTGAATCCTTGTAAATGTAGTGGGTCTATTAAATATATACATTTGGAATGTTTAAAGACTTGGCTCAGAATGAAATTAGAAAATAGATAAAGTGAAAATTGTACTGTTTATTTATGGAAGAACTTGGAATGTGAATTATGCAAATTCAATTTTCCACCGAAATTCAAAAGTGATGATGCCTATTATGATCTAATTGAATTGAGTAAACCTAATGATTATCCTTATTTAATGATGGAATTTACTAATAAATAAGTATTATTTAGACTCAATTATGAAGGGTTAATAAATTGAATGGAATAACAGTTCGGGTGTTTATATTGTTAAATTCTCGAACTCTAGAGACCTTCGACTTGGAAGATCTAATGATACTGATGTTAGAGTTAATGATATATCAGTAAGCAGAAATCATGCTCGACTTTTTGTTTCGGATAATTAAGTGTATCTTTTCGATAATCATTCTAAATTTGGCACATTATAGTAGATAAGAGAAGAAAAATTATAAATTTAAAGAGGAATGGAAGTTTAAATTGGAAGAAGCTTAATTTCATTTTAATGATGTTTCATTTTATTTATTAAAATCTTTTATAATTTTTTTATTACAGTTTTTCATTTATATTTTAAATAGCTTCAAACATATCACTATTAATATTTTAGGCGATAGAAATAGTAAAAACAGCACAATAAACTGAAAAAATTAAATCTGCCCTAAAATTTAGTTTTGATTCTCTGAAATTCAATCATATTCATTAATATAAATAAAGTTATATGAACTTATAAATTTCCAATTACAAAATACTTTCAATTCTAGGAGCTGGCTCTGGACATTAAGTCTTGAAGGTCCAAAATATTTAGACTTCTCAAATTTTAGCCTTAAAAATAGAAAAACATTCTAAATTAGGCTAATTATAAGGAGAAATAGAAAAACTGAAAGACCTTGTTGGGATCAATGGTATTCCTCAGTTAATTGATTATGGAAAGACCTAAGATTCTAAGTAAATATTATCATAATTTTTATAGAAGTTTTTTAATCACTCCACTTTTACAAAGAAATCTATAAGAGATTACAAAAGTACATCTGCTATCGCTACATCAAACTTTAGCGATTGGTTTAAGTCTGATTGAAATTTTACAATAAATACATCAAAATGGCATTCTACATCTTGACATTAAACCAGAAAATATAATGATATCATAACCTTTTATCAACGTTTCAAGTGATCAAATTCTAAAACCTAATTTCATATTTCTTATAGATTTCGGCCTATCTTAAAGGATAGAACTCAAACAATACCCAAAGAAAGTTTTTGTTGGGTCTTTAAGATATGCTAGCAGACAAGCTCATAAAGGAAATCCACTTGGGTATAAGGATGATTTAGAATGTCTTCTATATGTTTTAGTTTATCTCAGAAATTGTAAAATGTTATATACAATTTTTTTAGAGAACTTACCTTGGTAATCCTTAAAACAATAACCATCCCAATAAATGGAGATAAAAAAAATAGGAGAAATGAAAGACGCCATTTTTAATACATAAGTTCTATCCTAGAAATTTCCACCATAATTTTCATTATTCAAATCATATATTGAAACTTTAACACAAAAGACTATGCCTGATTATGAGTACATTAAAAACCTTTTCAAATCGATGCTTTCAGTAGGGGATCAATCTACATCTGCTAAATTAACTAATTCAGCCTCTCTAAACTAATCAATCAAAGGGACAAAATAAAATTAGAATACTGAGTAGATACTGATGCTTCTGGAAAATATACAAAATAATGATTCTATTAATATTTCTGAAGATCATATAGACACTGAGACTTCGATTGTATTAATCTCAGACTTAATCAAATCTTATCCTACCTCTTCTATTAAATCAATAACTGATATTAAATTTTGAGAAATGTTTAATTTATCTTGAATTTATATTTATATATATTGTTAAATATATTCTTTTATTATAATAGAAATTAAATAAATCATAATTTCATTTTGGAGGTTTGAATATGAAACAGGAAATCTTTCTCTTTCCTTGATACATGTTGCATTTTTCAATTTAATTTTTAGCCTCTTCTATTTTTTCTTTTAATCCTAAATCTAATTTTGCAGCTACATATTTGTCTACTTACTTTCCTATTTTCTTTTCCTTTATTTTAATTTCAATTTGTTCATCTTGAATTTATTAATTAAGAAATATTTTTTAATTTAACCATATTCTAATATTCTCCTTAGTTTCATTGTTAGGAAATCCCTCAACTATCAAAAATTCTTTTTCCCAAGTTTCTTTTTATTATTATTATTATTATTATTATTATTATTATTATTATTATTGTTATTATTATTATTATTGTTATTATTATTATTATTGTTATGGTTATTATTGTTATTATTATTACTATTATTATTACTATTAAACTTATTATTATGGTTTAATTAATAATGGATCTTCTTTTTAAATACCAATCACTTCATCATCTGAATCGTTTATATCTAATGCATCAATATCAAGTGAGATAGGTTGACCATTAATTTCAATATTGTGCGATTGAATAATTTGCTCAGCACACTTTTTATTTACGGCTATAATAATTCCTGTTCCAGTTTTGTAATTGCTACCAAGTTAAAAATCAAATTAAACTGATTTCACATTTTATGCTCCCAACATTTGTATAATATCTCTTTCCTTAGTATTCCATTTATTATGACTAAATCTAATTTTAATTTCTTCCTAATCTCCATAATGTTTCAATCTCTTAATTAGTTTATCCATATGTGCTTTATTATGGTATTCTCTAAAATAAATCTTATCAATAACCTTTCATAATCATCTTCATATTCTTCTTCACTATCTGTACCTCCATCATATTAATTTAATAAATCATCTATATCATCTTGAGAATCTAAAACAGGTTAAATAAAATTATTACATTTATGTTTGATTGAATCCCAAAACTTCAAGCTATTTTAATTTGGTCTAGTTGGTTCACCATTTGAATTATAGTAATTACCAAATTCATCAAACCAACCCCTATATTAGTCATAATAGAAATCTATATAATCTCCATCCTCTTAAATAGTAAAACCAGTATGATCTTTGAATTCTTCATACTCCAAGAAACGATCGGGGTCAGCCCTTCTGCGTGCCATTAATTAATTTATATTACACAATAAATTATTTAATATTTAATGCAATATTATCTCTAAAATCGCTTCAGCAAATTTCTAACTTTCTCTTCTAAAATAAACTCAATTGCTATATAATTGCATAAAACATAAATTCATTTATAAAATGAAAGAAGTTTGATTTTTCCAACATATTCAAGATATTAAAAATTGATATCAGAATTCCTTAATATTAAATCTATAATTCCGTCATCATTTATCAATTATTTTAACACAGTAATCAATTTATTTTTTTCAAAATTTTTATATTTTTGGTTATGAAATCCTAATTTTACAAATAATAATAAGAAAAAACGACTAAAATATAGATATGTATTTATAGTTTTGATTAAAAAAAAGTAGAATCAACGATAGCGTATAATTTTAAGATAAAGATATATATATATATAACATAATTTTCTTCATAGATATAAAATCCAATATATTTGTAAAATTCATTTAGAGAGTGATTTTAAAACGAAAAATTGAATAATCTAGTTATTATTTTCAAAGATTTAATTTAAAACAAATGAAAAACTTAATAATATTTTATAAATTATGGTATTATTTATAAGTATATATTTTTAAAATTAATTTTAATGGGAAATTTGTTCGAAAAATTGAAGAATTTATTTTCTACTTAGAAGTTAGAAGTTTGTATGGTTGGATTAGAGAATGTGGGAAAAACAACAATGCTAAATTAACTTTCTATGGGGGATCCTTCATTTACTGTGCCCACAGTGGGTCTTAATGTTAGAACTGTAAAGAAAGGTGGAGTGACTATGAAAGTAGGAGTATATATAAAAAATAGATCTGGGATATTGGTGGCTAAGTACAATATAGACCAGAATGGGGAAATTATGCTCAAGGTTGTGATGCACTTATATTCCTCGTTGATACAAGCAATGTAAAGATGGGTATTATAATAGTAAGCAACTTTGGGTACATCAAAAAAGGAATTACATAATTTATTAGATAACAAATCATTGCGAAATATTCCTATATTGATCATTGGAAATAAGATTGATGTGAATCCTCATCTAAATGAAAAATAATTAATAGAAGGTAATAATAGATTAATGTAGGTTTAAATTTGGATTATATAACATCAAATGGATGGGCTGTGGCAATGTGCAGTGCATTGACAGGAAATAATATTACTTAAGTAGTGGATTGGTTGATTACTAAATCAAAAAAACAATGAGACTATATATAATATTTGTAATTCATTTCGAAATATATATTACAATTAAAATCATAACGCATAATTTTCTGTAAAAAAAGATGAGTCAAATTTACTTAAAATTTTATTAGACTATTATTTACTATAAATTGATTAGTATATATATTTATTAGTTATTATTTTTGGATTCATAGATAATAATTGTTAATAAATATTATATTGCTAAATTGATAATTGTAAGAAAAAGTTTTAGTATTTATTATGAAAAAAAATAATACTAGTAATGAAATGAGACTTAAGAGTGCTGTGTAATTCAAATTTCAGGAATTCATGAATTCAAAACCAGCTCCTAGCATAACTACTAGATTACAAACTGGAACAACAACATCAAGAAATGTTGAAGATTTTGCTAAACCATTATTTTCAGAACCAAAATTTCTTGGAGTTTTGAGAAGAGTTAGTTCATAAGTCAGTCTTGATAAACCTATAGAGGATGTTTATTAATCTTAGAACTAGTCTCTTAAGGCTGTTAGTTCAGAAAGAACGTAAAAAATGTGACTATAACAAAGTACAATGAGGGCCTCATAAAAAATTATTGTTACGTCTGAAAATATGCAAACCTAAGAAATAAAAAGACGAATGAAATTTGATCCTTAGATAAGATAGCAAGTTAGTATTTTGAAGATTAAGATTTTGAAAAATGTACCATTAAAAAAATTTCTTCTCTATTTAGTAGGTAAAGAAAAGATTTTATTTGAACTCTTAAGATTAAAACAAATGCCATAAGCTATTGATATAATGTAGAGTATTATAGAGATGGCACTTGGAACTAAAAATATCATAATTTTTATAGAGATATTATTATTCATAGCAGAGACACTTGAAAATTCAAATCAAATTGATTTAGCTATTCATTTTTATAATCAAGTAAGAATTGGTAGTACATATGGAAAACAGACACTTGATATATATAAGATGAGATCTTTGGTTGGTTTAGCAAATTGTTGTATGGAATTTCAATGTTATGATTGTGGAGTTAAATTTTTAAAGAAATGTTTATAATATGCTTGGATAAATAATAATTAGGAATTTGAAAACATAGTTTATTAAAAATTAGGAATGCTATATTTTTATTTAGGTAATATTGAAAAAGTAATATGATAATAATTATAATTTCTAGGCTACTTTTTATCATGAGAGATCTATAAATTATGATTATGAATTAGAGAATTCTCCATTAAGATAATTAAGTTGTGATACACTTAAGAATTATCTTAATAAGAATTTTCCAAAAAATTGTGCAGAAAATATTAATAATCTATTTTTAAGTAAACTTAGTTTGAAATTTCATTTTGATATTGCATAATTATCAGAAGATCTTATTAAAGGATCTGAATTAACTCCTTCACCAAGAATATTTTTAAGTTCTCAAGATTGTTCAAGAAGAATGTCAATTTCAACTGAATTTAGAGAATTAGCAAATTTAAAAATTAATGGATAAAAATTAATTTAATAAATTTTAACCTAATAAGAATTTGATTTTGAAGTTTATACACCTAAACATTCATGTAAAATTTAAAATTATAATAGTCAGAAATGAAAGTTCTTGTTTTAATTTCTTAAAAAATAAAAAAATACATCCTTAAGATGTTTTTCATGATTAAAAATACAAAAATAATCCATTTGTATTAAATGATTTAGGAATTGAACCAAATAAACATTAACTTAATTTTGCAGAATATTTAAGTAAATATAAATTATCTCTTCAAAAAAAAGTAGATATTAGATTATAATAAAAATTTGATATAAACATTGAATAAAAGTTATAATATGCTGTAAGTAGCAATTATAAAACTTTTGAAAGGAAAAATAAAATTTTAGTATAAAATTAATTCTATTAAAGTTAACTCACAAAAATTAAGAGAACTCAAAAAAAAATAAATAACTAGATGAAACTAAAAAATTTAATAGCATTAGTACATTATACTAGAAACTAATTAATAAATTGCTTACTGTGTAATGAATAACATAATACTGCTTATATAATAATAATTTCAAATTCTTAAAGTAGTAAAGATATATTGTTCCTCTTCATACCTTCTTTTTTAATCATTCAAAATCAGTCTTGATCTTCTTAAACTTTCTTTTTTCCCTTATTACATACTTAATTTAGATTATAGAATTAAATATATTTTAAATAGCTATTATTATTTAATAGATAAATATTATAGAATAGTATAAATTAATTTTATTTGAAATTATATTAGTATTTTTATGGTTTGAAATATTGATCCTAAAAAAATTAACATAATATGTTGAGTATTTAATCAAACTATATTTATAAGTTTAATTTCATACAAAGAAAAGGATGTTGATTAAGGGTGATTAGAAACAATAAGTAGAATTTAATTTTTATATTAATTATAATTGAAAATATATGTAATATTCGGATAGAAAAAATTATGACAATGCTCTCGAATATTTTCAATAAGCTAATAAAAAGGATTTTGAATTAAAAGATATCAATGACATTTCTAATTTAGTGCTTTCTGAATTCTAATAATTGAATATTATGAAATCATATTTGCCAGATTATAATCTAAAAGCATCTGATTTTAATTGTTCATTCCTATTAGTTAATGTTTTTAACATTGTATAATAAAAAATGAGAAATTTAAAATAACTTTTTGAATAAAGAGAGGATGGATTATATGGAGTATGGCTTTGGAAATAAGGAGAATAATATTTAATTATAGTTGATGATTAAATACCATGTAAGCTATGTGGCAATAATTCTCAACTAGCAACAGTGATATCAAAATATGAATGGCCAATTATTATGGAAAAAGCAATAGGAAAAATATTAGGATTGGAATATAATTCATTAAATCTCATATAAAATGATTCAATAGAATATTATCTATAAGTAACATTTAAATTAAATTAAATTAAATTAGATGATAACAGGATCAGAAATTTAAGAATAAGAAATATAATCTATTGAAGAATTATAGAAAAAAGTAAGAGATTAATAACAAATATATTATGTAAAATATACTTAAGATTCAAAAACCATAGCATCTGTAATTGCTATAAATAATGAATAAGAAAATTAAAAACTAGTTAAGTTAATTGCTCCAAATCAATAGTCTGTATTTTTGAAAGGTATTTATTTTATATATATTAATTTGAGGGAGATAAAAACATGAATCATCATGTTATTTAACTTGGGATGAATTTAAATAACATTTTTAAACTGTTTATGTATTAATTTGGAAAGATGAATATCGAGTGACTCCAGTAACTTTAAAGAATCCAATTGAGCGAAAATTTGATTTTATAGAACACACTTATTGTTATAAATTTATTATAGATGATAATGCGAATTATTAGATTACTTTGTGGTAGAATAATCTTATTATTAATTAAGGGAAGATATAAATAAAAGATGAAAAATTAAAAAATTAATTAGGTTTAATTAGAATGCTGTTATTTTAAGAATTGAATTAAAATTAATATTAATTTATTGATGGAATTTGTGATTTTTAAAGTAATATTTCAATTAATACAATACTTGATAAAGGGAATTATTGTATTTTATGTTAAGGGTATTTTAATAATGTTCAAAATTATACTGAAGAATAATAATTAGAATAATTTAAATTAAATTTAACAATTAAAGGACTATAAGTTCCTTAAAATATTGATCCAGATAATTTAGATAAATAAAAATAAATAAAATTAATTAGAAGTTTGATAAAAAAAGTATCATAAAAAGAGAATACAAGATCATTTAATATTATTGGATAACCATAAATATAAGTGATTACTAAATAAATTTATGGTTTTTTATATTTTTATTATGAAAATAGAGGAACAATAGATATTAGAGAAAAAATAGAATTTATATAATTGGGACATTTAATCAATTATGAATCATTAAAAAAAAAGAATAAAGAATTAATAGATATAAAACAAAACAATTTCAAAATTATATTGTATACATTAGATCCAAAAATTATACTTTAATAAGATACTATAAATTTTTAATATCAATATAAACACATACTGATAAAGGAAAATGAATAATTAGAAGAATTTGATTAAATAACATAAAATATAGAATTAGACGAATTTAATTAAATAATATAAAATTAAAATACAAAAAAGATTGTGTGTGATTTTATTGATGCTTATATAAATTAATATCAATAAGGTATATAAAGAATTATTATAAGGTATTACCATATTGTTTCAGAATAATTAAGAAAATAGTGTTGAAGTAGATTTAAAATTTAAAGAATTGAAGAATCTTAGATTAGTGTAAAATTCTATCATAACAACAAATGACAAATCAATTAGATTTTCATTGGAAAAATAATCTAAAGTAAAAATATAATTTGATATTAATGAACATGCAAATAATTATCATTATAAGATGGATTTGAATTGTTCTAATAATTTATATTGAGTATTATTTAATCATTTATTAAATTAATTTATCATTTAAGTAGTTGAAACAACTTTAAAAAGATCACCAAGTCTCTCATCAAGATCAACTTTTAAAATATATATGATTTTCTAAAATCTTATTAATTCTAATACATCTCTGCATAAATAACATTCAGTTTTCTATTTCCAAATATCAATTGCACATTAATAACAAGTACCACCATGTCCACAATTCATAAACACTGCATTTGGTCCTCTTTCATAACAAACTATACAAATGTTACTATTCTAACTTATATCAGGTTTCTCGTTTTTTATTGATTCATCTCTAGCAATCTTTGATATTATAATGAATTACACTTATTAATTAAGAATTACTTTTTTTTTTATCAACTTAAGATCTTCCTCGATTTGTAATTTCTTAATTTATCATACATGATTATTTTTCAATTACACTCAGAAAATTCATATTTATATATATATGGGTTATTATTAATGTTTTACTAAATGCTTTTATTGATTCTAATATCTCTTTACTAGAATATTATTAATAACAATTGATTATAATTGAAATAATGAGGATTATATTGATGTATATATATAAGTTTTATTTTGATTATTCTAATACTAAAAATGATGTTATAAATAGGCAATCTAATATTGTAATAATTACATAAATTAGAATTCCTTTCATCTTACTGAATATGATATAATAATTACCATCTTACATGCTGGTTCTTAATTTAAAAGTAATGATAAAGAAAATTCAATAAATCAATTAATAGGTATGCTTATAGTACAAGAAATATCATTATTTTGTTTAACTAAAATTAAACTTAAAGACTAAGGTTTAGTAATATGAGTGTTGTGAATACAAATTTAATTATTAATGAATTATACAAATGTTTTGATCTAATACGATTTCTTTAACTAGTGAATAATTAAATTACTTTATATCTGTTAATGAGAGGGTTTAGTTTATTTCATTTTATGTTTGCATAGTAGCCATATATGTATTAAATTTTATTATTAAATCAAAAAATATTCATAAATTGATTGATTATATTAAACTTAATTTGATTATTTAGATATTTTTAATCATAGATAAAGAAATAAGACATAATTCTAAAATAATCAAAGAATCTCTATTAATCATCTTGTTTATATCAAAAAATATACTTTTTTATTTAATATTATCACATTTTAAAATATATAATAAAAATAGTTTTTGATACTATTTAAGTGGAATTATATANTCATTTATTAAATTAATTTATCATTTAAGTAGTTGAAACAACTTTAAAAAGATCACCAAGTCTCTCATCAAGATCAACTTTTAAAATATATATGATTTTCTAAAATCTTATTAATTCTAATACATCTCTGCATAAATAACATTCAGTTTTCTATTTCCAAATATCAATTGCACATTAATAACAAGTACCACCATGTCCACAATTCATAAACACTGCATTTGGTCCTCTTTCATAACAAACTATACAAATGTTACTATTCTAACTTATATCAGGTTTCTCGTTTTTTATTGATTCATCTCTAGCAATCTTTGATATTATAATGAATTACACTTATTAATTAAGAATTACTTTTTTTTTTATCAACTTAAGATCTTCCTCGATTTGTAATTTCTTAATTTATCATACATGATTATTTTTCAATTACACTCAGAAAATTCATATTTATATATATATGGGTTATTATTAATGTTTTACTAAATGCTTTTATTGATTCTAATATCTCTTTACTAGAATATTATTAATAACAATTGATTATAATTGAAATAATGAGGATTATATTGATGTATATATATAAGTTTTATTTTGATTATTCTAATACTAAAAATGATGTTATAAATAGGCAATCTAATATTGTAATAATTACATAAATTAGAATTCCTTTCATCTTACTGAATATGATATAATAATTACCATCTTACATGCTGGTTCTTAATTTAAAAGTAATGATAAAGAAAATTCAATAAATCAATTAATAGGTATGCTTATAGTACAAGAAATATCATTATTTTGTTTAACTAAAATTAAACTTAAAGACTAAGGTTTAGTAATATGAGTGTTGTGAATACAAATTTAATTATTAATGAATTATACAAATGTTTTGATCTAATACGATTTCTTTAACTAGTGAATAATTAAATTACTTTATATCTGTTAATGAGAGGGTTTAGTTTATTTCATTTTATGTTTGCATAGTAGCCATATATGTATTAAATTTTATTATTAAATCAAAAAATATTCATAAATTGATTGATTATATTAAACTTAATTTGATTATTTAGATATTTTTAATCATAGATAAAGAAATAAGACATAATTCTAAAATAATCAAAGAATCTCTATTAATCATCTTGTTTATATCAAAAAATATACTTTTTTATTTAATATTATCACATTTTAAAATATATAATAAAAATAGTTTTTGATACTATTTAAGTGGAATTATATAAATATTTACTTAAAATTTATTAAAAATATATAAATTCATGATTATTATTACGTTATAATAGTGGAACTATTTAACATAATATTTAAATATTAATTTAAGTCTAATAACTAGATTTTGTTATTTAATTAATATTGTAAAATAAAATATAATAATTTTATGATATAAATAAGTACAAATTAAGAAGGAGAATTTGTTTTTGATTCAAAAGAATAAGATTATGTTTTATTGGATCTAAATACCTTATAAGATTAATTAGAACAAGGAAGAAAAAATGAAATTTTCGATTTGTTATAATAAGTTATGAAATCTAATGAATATTAATCATAGAATGAAAAGGTGAAAAGTTAAATTGAATGGGCTTTATAGACTGTAAATGAGCATCTAACAGAATTGTATTTAATTCTAAACAAGATATTAGTTATGATCTAGAGTAAAATATAGAAAATTAGAGATATCCTGAAGTACATTCTGCTAATAAAATGATTGATATTAATATTGAAAAAGTTAAGGCAAGAGTTCAATTTATGTCATAATAAGAGAAAAAGAATTTAATGAAAGTATATTTATTAAAAGTATTGAGACAAAAAGCTTAGAAAGAAGCATGCAATAAATATATACTTGCAAATATAATAAGTTTTATAAGGAATAATTGTAATAAAAATACTAGTTGATGTAAAAGGAGATTATTGATAGAAAGAGGAATGAAATATTGTAGTAAAGATAAAAACATTTCTAAATTATGTAAAGAACTAAAGGGAAATTAGGATAAATGTAAATTTATATAATATTAAGATTATAAATAAAGGTTGAAGAGAATAAGTAATTAAAAGATTCAATTCAATTAGGATTATATTAAACAATGTCTGAATTGAGATCGGATAATGTTAAAGCTTATAGAAGAGTTAAAGTTATGGAATAAGTATAATAAGAAAAATTGCAATTATTTTGGTAAAACAAATAAGTAATTGCTAAAACAAATTACAAAAGAAAAGTAGAAGATGCTTATTTATAAAATATACAATCTTAAGATAGACTAATGAATTTAGAATAATAAGAAAATGAATTAATGTATAGATTATAATAGACATAATAATAATATTAGATGAGTTCAATCAAATTAGAGAATATGAAATCAAAATCATATAAGGATTTAAGGATTATGTGGAGTTGATTGAATTTTTGTCTTTATTTATTTATTTATTTTAAAAGTTAATTCGCTATGTTTATACAGAAATTAAAAAATTTAAAATAAAGATTTTTAATAAATGGGTGTGAGAGTAACTTATAGAAGACGAACAAGCTACAATACAAGATCAAATAAGATCAGAAAAGTAAAGACCCCAGGTAAAAAGTGAATTAATTGAAGGTGGCAACGTTGTTGTTTAATATCCAAATAAGAAGACAACTGCATCCACATGTGCAGATTCTAATTTGAGTGTTGTTTTAAATGGATTAAAGAGAATTAGACCTACAAAACTAAAACAACTTGCAAGAAGATAGAGAACAGTTTCAAGACCATATGGTGGAGTATTGAGTGCTGGAGCTCTTAAAAATAGAATCATCAGAGCATTTTTAGTAGAGGAAGTTAAAATCGTTAAGTAAATTAAGAAATGATACATTTATACAACAATGAAAAAATAATAACAATCAATGTTCTGATTGCAAAGGTTCGATCTATTGATCAATATCTCAATATGATTGATCTTCAATCAAACTTTCTAAATTATACCAATTAATATTTCTATTAATCAAAGACAATTTAGAATGTAAAGAAATACTAGTCTTCATCATCTTACTATTGCAATTCTTCGGTGGCATTTCTAAAATGCATTTGCATTTTTCCATAATCTATTCTATTTTTGTTGTTGATAAAAATATTCAGAATCTTAAATATCATATGTTAAAAGTATATCCACTTCATTATTTTAAAAACACAACAAACATAAATGTTTTTCTTCAAATTTTTATCATTAATGATTATTGATTTTCTAATTATTTAATAATCTCAATAAATATTAATATAATATGCAATTTGATTCTTATTAATTTAGCCTAAAATTCAAATAGCAACATGACAATCTCTTATATGTTTATATTATAAATTATTTATTGATAACTTATATATTAATCTCTATAAATTAATTTTATAATATAAAAATAGATTATTCAGTTGTTTCTTTACTTTTATATTCAATAGAAATTGAAATATTGATAAATAATTGAAATTTTTCAATATTATTATTTTTGACCATTTTTCTCTTTATTTATAATAGAAAATTGCTTCGAAAGATTTAAATTTAAATATGTACAAATTTTTATCAATTAATTGTTTTATAACAAAATCTTTATTTCTAAAAAATTGAATTTTTAGGATTCAGATATCTTTTTAATCAAGATTATAAGTTCAAATAGTAATTGTATAATATTTATAAATATTATTTTTAAAAATAAGCTAAAAAATATAAAACAAAGTAAATAATAGATATATTAAATTAGATATTAAAGCAATAACATGTATTTTGTCTATACATTTTATATATTTTATTAATGATTATTCAAACAGTGTTTAATAGATTAATTTCACAATTAATGAAGAAATGGAAATAAATAGATATTTCTTATAACAATTTGATTAAAATTAAATATTTTACATTATGATTTGAAAGAATTAGAATATTAATTATATTGTGTATGATATATATATAAGTATTAAAATATAATTAATATAATTTATGAACAACAATAAACTGAATCTCTTGGAAGTTTTAAGAAAGAAACGAATAGAACAACAAAATGAGTAAATTCCTAAAACTCCGCCTATTTTGAAATAAAAATCTAAAGAGGAAATTCGAAAATATTTACAATAGAATCCAAAAACTAATCTTATAAGTCTCTTCAAAAAGAAAAGAGAGGATGATAATACACCTTGTACTCGTCAAAAACTACTTAAATTTTACGATAGCTAAGGTCGAAGTTCTATTCTCTCTCCAATTTGTGCTGCTAATCATGTTCCATAAAAAAGTGTATCAGATGAAAGTACTAATGCTTTATAAGTATTGTATTTATTATATAATTTATAGATTACTATTCCTAAGAGAATGTCACTTGTATCTCCTAGATTATAGCATTTAAATTCATAGACATCAATACTAGAATCTCCAAATGAAATAGAAAGTTTCATAGTTGGTGGATCTAATGCATCTAAATTAGACTTAGATGAACATTATCTAAGGATTGAGAATGTTGATAATCCAAGAATTATGCGATCATAATCATAATGTTAAGATGAAGCTTAGATGGCAATAATTCCAAATACTTTAAGTGTTCCTATGGGTAAAGGACCTAGAAGATTATAATCATTTTCAGTAGGTGATCCATTTAGAAATGTAATAAATGCAGCAGAATAAAGGAGATCTGTAAGATTAATGAGAGGATTAAGTGGAATTCATTAACCAAAAGAAACATAGATTTTAGAGAGATCTAGAGATGAAGCAGGAAGAAAGAAAATGAATAATTTTGTAATTTTACATGAATTGGGTAGAGGAGCCTTTGGAAAAGTGCGTTTAATTTATAATGAAATTGATTAATAATATTATGCAATGAAAATAGCTGACAAAAATAAATTGAAACGTAAATTGTTAACAAAAGAGACATCAGCATATTCATTATTAGAATAAGAAGTGGCAATATTAAAAAAAGTGGATCATTAAAATGTAGTACGATTAGTAGAGGTTATAGATGATCCAGAAGAAAGAAAATTATATCTAATAATGGAACATGTTAAGAAAGGATCCATAAATTCAAAATAATATTGGAAATCTGAAGGTGTAAATATAGATTGGGATGAAGGAGAAAAACCACCTAAAATAAGTTGTGAAAAGATTAGGAAATATTTGAGACATTTCTTACTTGGATTAGATTATTGTATAAATAAACAATTATCTATTAAGTACACAACTTTGCTAGAATTGTACATAGAGATATTAAACCAGATAATTTATTGATTGATGAATTTGATAATTTAAAAATTGCAGATTTTGGTGTTGCATAAATGTATGATAGTTCATCTGCTGATTTGATTTAAGGTGATGTTGGAACCAAAGCTTTCTTACCTCCAGAAGCATTTAAGACATCTTAAGTTAAAGGTAAACCAGCAGATATCTGGGCTGCTGGTATTACATTCTTTATTCTTACTTAAGGAGAACATCCTTTCCCAGCTAAAAATGTTTAATAACTTAAAGATGCTGTTTTAAATAATGAAATTAGATTCTCTAAAGATACTGATTAAGATTTGGCAGATTTTTTAAGCTGTTGTCTTAAGAAAGATGCAAGATAGCGTTATACACTTGAATAACTTATGGTAAATAATGAAGTTTAATTAGGATCATCCATTTATTACAATGAATGGAGAAGAACCATTAATTGAATAAGAATTTTCAGATGAAAATTTCTTCATTTCTGAAAATGAAATAAGTAAGGCACTCTCTAAAGTAACTATAAGAGCTACAGTGAGAGTCTTTGCAAAACTTAAATAGAAACTTAATCAGTCTAGATAAAGAATAAAGAGATAATAATGAATATAAAAACAACACACTCTATTATATATTTTATATTATCATTCTTATATATCTATTTCAAAAAATCATTTATATAATAATATAAATTTGTTTAACTATTACATAATATCTAATTAATAAATTTATTTATGTAATAATATCATAATAAATATAATTGATTTAGAAATTGTATATTTGAATAAAAATTATTCTAATAATAAAATGAATTCAGTATTCAAAAAAGTAATCATATTTAGTAATCAATAATTTAATGAATACATATAAAATCTGAATAAATTATGTTTGATTAATTTAAGAGATATATTTCATAAAATGATAGTAAATAAGTTTTATTTTTACTATTATTTAATTTATTTATGAAAGTTTTATAGGCACTTAAATCAACAAAATTCCCATTTGCATCATTCACAAATAGAGATGTAAAATCAGATTTTTAATTGCTTAAACCTCATTTCGAAACACTTATACCTGATCTCTATTTACAAAAGAGACTTAAATTACCAGCAGATAAAATTATGAGATAAAGAAGAATGATGAATTATCACATTGAGTTTGATAAAGATGGCAATATGACTAGGTTCCATGAAGAATATCGTCTAGATAATTATGATGAAACAAAATGTCTACAATATGCAAATGTCTATGAAGAACTTACCAAAGAAATGAAACAAGATTAGATCTATAAAGATTTTCTTTATAATACACTTTAAATTACTTGGCAATTAAAAAAATACAACAAAGCTTAAATCTCTGTCCATGCAGTTAGAACTGTAATAATATTCTTTATTTTACTATAGATATCATATCCTGATTAACCTGCTTAATCTACTCCAGAAGGACCAAATAGAGATGGAAATGATTTAGAAATCATTGGAGTAGTTAATAAGATTAACTGTTAAGGAGCAGACAGTCAAATATATAGTCCTGATAAAACTAAGTTACTATTTGAAATGAGTCTCGAACCTGGAGAAGGATACATAATAGATGATAAATCACTATGGAATTATGCCACTTCCCATAAACCAGTCGATCAAAGCTAAGTAGGAATTAGAGATATATTGGGGTTTGTACTTAAAATTGATGAATGAATATACACAACCACAATTATATATAATATAATAAATCATTTTTAATTAATATTATTTTTAATTCTGCTTATTTATAAGCAAATTATTATATCATGTTAATTATAAATTCAATCAAATTAATCAAGCTAAACTTCATATATTTTTGGTTCCTATTAAACTATTGATTTGATATCAGAATCAGAATCAAATGATGTTATTTTTATGGTTATCGTACTAACATGAGAATATTTTCTATTCAAATTTGATGTTGTTCTAGATTAAGGATTTATTGACAACTATTTTTTTTCTTTTTTTGCAGTCTTAGTCTTTCCAATTGGTTCTGTAGATTTTTTTGCTGGTGTTACATATAATTGAGATTATTTCTTGTAATTTTACAATATTTTGTGAAGTGTAGATTACTTATCATTTTACATTACTTTATTTTAAATTTTTTGTTTTATTGATTGAAAAGAACTCTTTTATCTAGGAATTGTTTATATAAAGTATGATTATGTTGTAGGTATTCCATTCAATATGCTTGCCATCTGAAATTATTATAGAGAAATTTTTAATGTATTTAAATTTAAAGACAAGATTTCTCATTTTATTTTAAGATGATTTAAAAATTTATTATTTTTTATTATGATTCTATAAAATTAAAGTAAATTAATTATTTCATATATCTAATTTTATTAAAATAAAATAAAGAATTTGATATATTTATTTATAAGAGATAAATTTTTGTTTTATAAAAATAATTTTATATTTAAATCATTATTAGTTCTAATTAGATTTAAATTAATCATTCATTAGAATTGATTGATCATCTTAAAATAATTTTTGATCATTTATTTAAAATTATTCATTTTCTTATTATTATTACTATATATTATCTTATTATGTATTTGTTAATATTATTTCTTATTATTAATTATTATTTTCATTTATTTATTATTTTTTTATTTAATTACAATCTCTATTAGTAAACATATTTTGAAATTATTACAATAATAATTGTTATTCATTCTCATTAATGGGCTCAAAAATTGTATCAGTCAAATTTAATGCTTATGCTTCTACTAACAATTAATCTCTAAATTATTCTACATTAAAATCATTTTCCACAAACATAATAGATTAATTCTAATTGAGATAAACATGGAGTGCTTATTTTAAATTTTTTTTATCTTCTTCTTAATTATCACTTAATTAAAAATCAGTAACAATAACTGTAAATTTTTCTTTAAATTTCTTGAAATATTTAAGAACATTTAATATTTTTTTCTTCATTAAATCTGTTCTTTCAAAGTTAACTAATAAGAAAAAATGTATAATATGATTTTTCATCATGTATTAGGAGAATTATTTAATTATGATTTCTCTTTCATTAATATTTTCAAATTCAAATGAAGGTGTAGAAACTAAATCAATATCATGCCTTATTTAACATTCTTCAAATCCTTAATTTACCTATTTTTATTTAAAAAAATTAGATATTCTTTTAAATAATTTAGTTTTTCCAACTCCTGGTGGACCAACAAGTAAGTATTTAAGAGTTTAAAACTTTTAGGATTTATTTGGCATTTTTTTTTTTTCGTAATACAATTTCATTCCAAAATAAATAACAACTACAGAAGCAGAAGTAAATGTAAAAGCAGAAGCAAGAGCAAGTATTTTATATATATTCTTTTCAGCCATTATTTATTATTATTTAATTAATATTTTAATGACATATGCTTATAAATTAGATTAATTCTATTAAACATCATAATTAATATTATAAAAATAAGAAAGTAGTTGATTTCTTATGAAATTTCTTTTATCCACTCTTTAATTGATGTGAGAAAGCAAATTATAAAATTATTTGCATAAATATGAATAACAATAATTCAGTGAAAAATCATTTTTTAGGTTTTCTAAGTTTAGCATCTTATCTTTATTGCATTTCTAGATCATCTTTTTCTTTTTATGCTTCTTATACTTTATTACGTTTAAGTTATCTTAAATCTATAATAATTATAAAAATCTTATATACCAGGTCTGAATGATGCATCACTTAAAAGAAATTGATTTGGTTTAAATACTTTACATTCATATGGACGTATGTAATTAACATCCCAATATCTAACTTCTCCAAATTCAATGTATCCCATATAAGATCCATATATTTTACAGACCTTTTTACCTTTTTATTTAATTTCTCCAGATAAATAATCAGATGCTTTCCATCTTACACTATCTAATTCAACACAAGCTGTAATATCATTCTTTTTATCCATAAATGTAATCTTACCCTTACATTCTACTTTCATTGGTCCCCAAAAACTACCACTATATTCTTCTCCTGCAAAATTATATTCAATTAATTCTCCATCAGCAAATTTTAAAAACCGTTTACCTTTATTTTTTAAAGATAATGAATTGACTCCTGCTTTGGCTTCATAATTATAATAACCATAAAATTTATAACTATTTTTAGGACCAATAGTTAAAAAATAACTAATGGGAGGATGATGTGAGATTTATTCTACATATGCAGTAGTACCATCTTAATAAAAACCAGAAATAGTCTCTCCTAAAATTGGATTTAAGGGTTTGAGAAATGAACAATTTAAATAGAAATTACCTAAAGTGGCACAAATAATTAGCTTCATCTAATAATATGATTAATACTTTACTTTTTCAATAGGATCTTTTTCTAGTACTGCTCTATTAATGTATAATGGGAATAAACAACTAGACATTAATACTTTCTCAAGTGCAGATTTAGGTATCATAGCTTTAATAGGAAATGACACAGTTGTTAAATTTAAATTACCAGATAAAATTTGTTTACCAATTTATTTGATCAATTCTTTACCTATAGCTCTCAAAGTTCTAATTAATTTTTTGTTTTTGCACACTTTACCTCCATCTTTATGTGCTAATGTAGATCTTGATTCTTCTTTTGATTAAAGTGGTTTAAAATTAGAGATAGCCTTGAAAATCAATTCTTCAGTATTGTCTGTATTATAATCATGTATTTCTTTGGCCCATTTATATATGGCTGCATTTTTGGCTTCTTCTTCTGACATTTCTCTATCATCTTCTTCTTCATCTTCTTCTTATATTACTTCAGGTTGATCAGGAATTTCTTCAAGTTATGATTTTTCATTTTCATTATTTTTAACTTCAGCTTGTATTTAAGGATAACTAACTATCACACTTAAATCTTCTTAAAAATCAATTTTAATTTCCTCTTGTTACTAAGACTCTTTTTTCATATTTTATTATTTTTCAAGAAGACTTATAACGAAAAGAGTAAATGGAGTTTTGCCAACAACAAATGATGGACATATTGATGCTGAAACATTTTCATCTTATACTTAATATCCAATTGAATTTTTCTTTGGTCTTTCTTCTATTTCTAACTCTACTTCTTGTTATTGATTGGTTCTACAGGATCTAATAATCAAGTTTATAACTAATTTATTTACCTATCTCCTTACTGATTCTCAGGTATCAACTGTTCCGATATCTCTATTGGTTTTTTTTTTTCATCTTTCTACTTAGATGATGAACAGCAAAACATTATTTTTTTATATAATTATATTTTTAAACATTTTTGCTTTAATCTTGCAAATTTCAGTTTAATGTGATTTGACTATTTGATTAATAAGATATCATTTAATTTATCAATAAAAAAGATGAATTATGTTATTCTTTAAATCAGTAATATTTTGAATTATTATTATATGCTTTCAAAAATTCAGTTGATCATTAAAATTATTTCAGAAAAATAAGAACACTTTAAGAATCTTTTGTTCTAAATTATTCTAATATAATTATTCTCAAAATATTAATCTTTAATTCTTGTTTATAAAGATAATATGTAAAAAATTTAATTTAATTGTACTATTTGTTTGAATCATTTAAGCGATCCAACCTGCTTATCTTGTGGACATACATTTTGTGAAAAATGTATCAATCATCATTTACAACTCAATCATTCTTGTCCATTATGTAGAAAACCCACATTATCAGAATGGCCTGTCAATGAAATGTTAAAAGAAGTACTATTGATACTTTTTGAACAAGGATCTGAAGGTAACTTTTTATGTCTCTATCTAAAATTTAGTTCTTTAAACTGAATTTCCACAAATTGTATTATGTTTGGATTGTGGCCTTACTCCTATTAATCCTGTAGTGTTACCTTGCTAACATCTCTTCTGTCTTTAATGTTATCAAAACGACTTAATAGAATAATACTGTCCTGTTTGTCTTTAACAATGCATGATTACAGAGCCAAACATAAATCTTCTTTTCAATTAATTTTTGTAATGGTATTGTGAAACAGATGAAAAGTTTATTCTCTAAAATTAGTAAATAAGATCCATGCCCATATTTCTATTTGATAAGTAAATATGCTATAAAAGGAATTTCTCTTTAAGAATTGTAGAAGATAGATATAAATAGTTAATAAAATTGGCCTCACATGGATCAGGTAAATTTCCTGTTGTTCCTTTTACTGATTAATTACCTGTTTATGCTGATATGGTAGAATTAGTTAGCATAACAGATCAAATCGAAATTATTGGTTGTGATAGATTAATAATAGATGCAATCTATTGCTATATAAACAATGAAAAAATACCATTCACTCCTAATACATTTAAAGCTTTACCAAATCAATTATGGTTATGCAATTATACTATTATCAAAGATAATTAAGATAAATCAACTTTATGGAATAAAATTAAACAATTTATTCAAATAACTTTTACAGAATTAACAGAAGAAATGAAATCTTTATTTGAAAAACCATATCATTTAATGAGTATCTTTGGAAACAAATTTCATTAAGTAAATTCAAGTCTTATTATGATTTAATTATTGAAGATTAATAATTAGCAATTCTAAAAATTATATTATTCTAATGATGAATAAGAAATTAATTCATTTGGAATTTTATTAATCAAATTTAATAAAAAATCATTTAAATTATTGGTAATTAAAATTAAAGTGCTAAATTGAAATAATAAAATATGGATTAAGAAATAGAATTACCAAATTTATAGTTTTATAATTTATATGAAGATGATGATGAAGATTATAATGAAGATCTAAATGAATCATTCTCAAATATGACAATTACTCAACAAATCATTCTCAACCTATTTCATCTTCATAAAATACCAATATTTTAGTGATTATTTATTACTTATATTGTCTATCATATACTCATAATTAATATATTTATTATCGAATAATTTAAACCAAATTTTACTAGCTTTTTCTATAGTTTCTTTATCAATAAAAAACAATTATATCTTAAAATGTATCTAGATTTAATTTAAATTTTATATGTGAATTTAATATTTACTTAATTATAAAATAGTATTAATTATAAATTTAAATTATAAGATTTTAATACTTCATAAGATTGATTTTAGATATTTATATCTTTTTTAATTTTCATCCACATAATTAATAAATAAATTAATCTTCTAATTTAATATTTATTTAATTGTTCTAATTAAGTTATTCTTTTTATTAATTTATACTTATTATTTTCTTTATTTTCTATCTTCTACAATTTAACTCAATCATTATTATACTCAAAATTATAATTTCTATACTTCAATTCTTATTCCTTAGACTTAAATATAGAGTATTTATTATCAGATACATAATCCAATTTTCTTATAATAAAACTAAATATATAATGACTAATTTGATTTCTAAAAATTGATATTAATGTTAATATATTTCATTATGTAATATTTAATTATTATTTTACAAATAATTTTATATTCATATAAAAATAACAAATATTAATTAGATTAGCTTTTTAATTAGAAATTTTTTTATATAATTAAAAAAAGAAATCAATGGCTACAACAAAGGTAAAAAAATCAAAAAAAGTTGAAGAGGTTGAATAGGTTTAAGATGAGGGTGTGATAAAATCTACTCATTAAGGACCTAAAATTGATTCCTCAAATTGGCCATTGTTATTGAAGAATTATGAAAAGATGAACATATTGACCTCACATTATACACCAATTCCAAGTGGATCAGTAAGGATAGAAAATATATATAATAGACTCCATTAAAGAGACCATTGATTGAACATTTAAAATATGGTGTAATAAATCTTGACAAACCATCAAATCCATCATCTCATGAAGTTGTATCATGGATCAAAAGAATATTAAAAGTTGATAAGACAGGTCATTCAGGGACACTTGATCCTAAGGTTACAGGAGCATTAATCGTATGTCTAAATAGAGCAACAAGACTTGTGAAGGCATAGTAATCTGCTGGTAAAGAGTACGTCGGAATAATAAGGTAATAATGATAATGATAATATTATAGATTACATGATGCAATATCATCAGCAGCTAAGTTAGAAAAGGCTATTCAAGATTTAACAGGAGCTGTATTTTAAAAGCCACCTGCAATATCTGCAGTGAAAAGAGAATTAAGAGTTAGAACAATTTATGAGAGTAAATTGTTTGAATATGACCCTGAAAAGAGATTGGGAATATTTTGGATGAGTTGTGAAGCAGGAACATACGTAAGAACTCTATGTGTTCATTTGGGTTTATTATTGGGAGTAGGAGGTCATATGGAAGAGTTAAGAAGAGTAAGATCAGGAATATTGGATGAGAATAAATATATGGTAACAATGCATGATGTATTGGATGCCCAATATAGATATGAAAAATTTAAGGATGAATCATATTTAAGACATGTAATCATACCATTAGAGGTTCTCTTAACAAATTACAAGAGAGTTGTAGTAAAGGATTCTACAGTTAATGCTATATGTTATGGTGCAAAATTAATGGTTCCAGGAGTATTAAGATTTGATGATAAGATTGATATTGGTGATGAAATAGTCTTAATTACAACTAAAGGAGAAGCAATTGCAGTTGCTATTGCGTAATTTAATAAAATTTATAATATTAGTTAAATGACAACAGGTGAGATGGCATCTTGTGATCATGGAGTTGTTTGCAAATCTAAGAGAGTAATTATGGACAGAGAAACCTATCCAAGAAAGTATTATATATATTTTATCCATATTAGATGGGGTACTGGACCAAGAGCTCTTAGAAAGAAGGCATTAATTAAAGAAGGATTACTTGATCCACATGGAAAACCAAATGTCAATACTCCTTAAGATTGGTAGTAATTCTATGTTTCTGAAGAAAATAATAATATTCTAAAGGAACAATAATAACCAGAAGTTTAATAAGAAGAGGTTGAAGTACCTGAAGTTGTTGAAAAGCCAAAGAAAAAGAAAAAGTAAGTTGTTTAAGAAGAGGAAGAATGATTTAATATGTTTAACATTAACAATATAATAAAAAAGTATAATAAATGATAAAACTAATGATTACTGAATAGAATTTCAATTGATTTAAAGACAATTAAGCTCATTGTTATTAATGGGATGTCATAAAACTTTGTTAAGCCAAATCAATTATACTTTCAAATTTTTAAAATTCATCTTCAGGTATTACTCCAATAATTTAATTTTCAAGATGTTATTTGGAACTAAAAATAATATTGAGTTATATTACAATAATTATAGATCCTCTAAATATGATTTATATGGTGGGAGTTCTGTTTTAGCTCTGTTTAAAAGCATTATCAATTAATCTACAATAGGTTTAAAGATTTATGTTTTTGGATTGTCTTTGTTTTCCAAGATGATATCTTACATTAAATAGAATCTTTGCATAAGATCAACAACTAATTAAATTCTATTTCCTTATTTAATTTATGGAGGTCCTTTGTTTATTCTATCAATTCCAAATTTACAATCTTCTAGTCCATATTCCTAATGAATAGAATAAATATATATAAACCTTTATGAATTAATTGAGATCATATTTATCTATTTTAGATGTAAAGTTTTTATATCTTTCAATCAATTTTGTGATTTCTTATGAGTGTTTTTCTGGTGTTATTTTATCATCAGCTAATTATGCACACTTTTCTACCATATCAATTAATCTAATTGTAATGAATATTTCTTTTTATAATTCAAATTTTTACTAAGGATATAAGATAGATCTACTTACTTTATCATCAATTGTTAATTTCTATACTTAGCGAGTCTGTGGTTAATTCATTTTAAAAAATTATTAATATATAAAATACAAAATATATATTAACTTAACTTTAACAAAATGCAGTATCTAATCTCCTTATAAAAAAACCTACAAACTGAGAATGTATTTTTAAGTGCAACTTTGAATTTTCGAGATCAGAATGTTGAGAAGAGCTATTAGAACTTTTAGAAGAAGTTTAATGAAGGGACATTGATCTTAATGGAATCCTTCAAATTCTTTTTGGAATTTGCCATTACAATTTCAGCCCTTATTTCAGATTATGAATCAATTTACTCATAAATTCTTTTCTTATTTCCAATTTCAAGTCTATTATAAATTTGGATAATTCGAAAGAACTAAAAGTGTAATGATTACTGGAAAATAATACATATGATAGCACTATTTCTGTTTTTAGCAGCTATTAAATAACCATATTTAATGAGAGGATCAGTGTCTTTGTATTGCATCTATATGACTTAAAGTTTAAATGACAAAAAATATGTTATTTTTTACTTTTCAATAATGTAAGTTACATTCTAATATTTTGATTAATTTTTTGATTGGATTGTTTTACCATGTTAATGGGCATTCACATTAATATTATCTATAAGTATTTATACTAGACAAAGAAGAGAACTAGTATATTTTTATAATAAATTCAAATCCAGTACTGATTTATCGTATTAAGAGGTTGTGTTAAATCATAGTTTATAATAGAATCTATTTATAGTTAGATTATCTCAAGATTAATAAAAAGTAAATCTTAATTTTAATATTTATTTAGAGATCAGTAGATTATTTTGAAGTTTTATTTGCTAATCAAGCATGTAAAAAGGAATTTGCTTAAATTGATAACATTTTTCATCGAACTACATTAATTAATATCATAAATTGTAATGAATCTAATCTTTCCTATTATAATTTGAAAGTCAATTTAAGTTATGAATAAATTTTTAATAATTATAAAGGATCTACTGGTGAATAGATCAATATGGTAGACAAACCCATATATTTAAATCAAATTCTTTATTAATATATAGTAAATTATTAGAATAAAGAATTATAAGAAAGTCTACCTTTGAAATTGACAGGGATATAAAATAATCAAACATTTGATATATTAGTATCTCCTTGTATATGGAAACATGAGAGATGTTTTATTATTTCATTAATTGATTTAACTGATCGTATGAAGATTTCTTAATTAGAGAAATTGGATTAATATAAAGATAGTGTATTAGCCACTGTAAGTCATGATTTAAAGAATCCTATAATTGTAATTCAATCTATGATCACACTTGTTTAAGAAGGTTTATATGATTTATAGGATTGTGAGAATGTAAGTATTTAATAAAAAGTTTAATCTTGTTGTAATTATTTGTAAATGTGTTAAACTAATGTGTAAACTCTTTAATCATTTGTTAATGATTTATAAGATTTTGCTTAAATTAAATAGTAAAAGTTAAAATTGGTTGTTAGTTAATTTTAAATTTATACTCTTATTTAAGAGATAAAGAATGTTTTTTAAATTTAAATATAAAAGAAAAATCTTGAATTAGAAATCTAAGTAAATTTAAAACCAAATTAAACTTATTACAATGATCCATTAAGAATAAAATAAGTTTTATTTAATTTGATTTCTAATGCAATTAAATTTACATGTAAAGGAAAGATAATTGTTAAATTCTCTGATGATATAAAAGAAATTTTGAAATTTTGTAAAGCAATAAAAGAATAAATTGATTCTAACAAAAGTATTGTAGATGTTGGATTATTGTTCAAAAATAAATCAACTATTTTCATATGTACAGTTACTGATAATGGAAGTGGAATGAGTTTAGAAATTCAACGTGGCCTTTTTAGAAATTTTGCTACCTATGACAATGATAGTAACATAAACAAGTAGAGTATTGAGTGTAATTAAATAGAAATGGTGTTGGATTAGGTCTAATCATTTGCAAGTAACTTTGTGGCTATATTGGTCCATTATAGTACATGTATTTAAGATCCCAAACAGGAGTTGGTTCAACTTTTTAATTTGCCATTTATAAAAATTATGATAAACAACATCGCTATGATTATTCAGGTGATTAATCTAGCATCGATTCTATCGATTATGATATTTCAGTACAATCCCCATATAAAAATATATTCAGTACTCGTCACATAACTCCTCTATGCAAAAAGCAACGAATGAAAGAAATGCTGCAAATATTGATTGTTGACGATGAAACTTTCAATTGCATATTGCTAAAACTACAATTAACTAAGATTGGCATTCATAATTTGGATGTGGCCTATAATGGAAGAGAAGCAATAGAAATGTCATAGAAAAAAACATACGACATTGTATTTTTAGATGTCAATATGCCTGGTTTAAATGGATTCCAGTGCATTCAAGATATAAAAAATACCAATGACGAAATTAAGATTTACATGCTCACAGCATTCAATGATCTCTAAACTCACTAGATGTGTTTAGCTGCAGGAGCGGATAAACTTTTATCCAAACCACTTTCTTAAAAATAGCTTGAACTATTGTTGAATTGATTATATCATTAGTTATGTATTCAATTATCATACATGCTCTTTACATTCTAAAACTAAGATTCAATGTTATTCATCAATTAAATTGTTTTTTGAATTATTTTTTTGTAAATTTTATATTCAAAACAATTATGTATATATAGATATATCTTAATAGATTACATAAATGATTCATTATTTATTTACAAAATCATATAACGAAGACTAATCAAATCTCAAATTTTATTTCATTTATTTATATTAGTATATATATATTAAAATTCATATAAATCAATTAAGGTTTATATTTTCTATTAAGAAATAATAGGTCATAGTGTAGTATTTTGAATGTTTTTCGTTGATTTAAATATATATTTAAATTATTAAGTCAAAAAAAGAAATAATATTTAAACAAAAATAGTTATCTAATGTATTAATTTATGTATAATTTTATGTAGTAGGATAGAGATTTAGATGTGATTCTTTTCAAAAATTACTGAAAAATAAACAAATTGAGACTCAATTTTATATTAACTAATAAATATATTAGTAAATTATGGGAATTGTATTTAGGAGAAAATTAAATACGTGTAGGCAATTAAAAAAAATATCTATATTTAAAAAAAAAATTTGTATGGACCCAACACCATAACCAGAAGTTTAAAAAGAGGAGAAAAAACCAAATTAGACAAGAGGAGAGAATAGAAAGAGGGAACCCAAACAAAAGTAATAACAAGTTCAATATGTTGTAAAGGGTGAGGAAGGTATAAAATTTATTTTGATGCATTATAGATGCTGCAACTGAAGTATAGAATGATACATAAGAAATGAGAGGAGATAAAGGAGAGAAATAATAAAAGAAGAAACAAAGAGAGGATAGAAAACGTCCTGAATTTGATTGGGATAAGACTAAGATTACTCTTGAAAGTAGAGTACCAGAATTACCTGCTCATCCTCCTTAAAAACCAAATAAAGAGGAGCATTACAAATAATTGGATAAGATTGATGAAGATATCAGAAAGCAATGGAATCATTTCGTAAGAGTTTATTGTTAAATTTTATAGAATGATTTTGTGAAAAATGTAAAGGAATAATAAAATATGGCTAGACAAGGTAATGAATAGAAGTACAAAAATGAAGTGAAACCATTAGGATTAGTTATTGGAGATAAAATTAAATTAGTAAATGAGAAATCATCAGAATTGAAGAAAATGAAGAGTGAGAATGATGAAATTAAAGATCACATTAATTAACTCTTTAATTAAGCTTAAGAATACAGATAAAAGATGAAGAGTTTAGATGATCCAGATAGAATTATTGATGAATTGGCTAGATTGAAGGAATCACTTTAATAAGATAAATTAAGTGCAAATGAAGAAAAGAGAATCGTATAATAAATAGGTGCTTTAGAAAGATCACTTCCATATATTGAACCATTATAAAAGTTGGAGAAAGATTAAAAAGTATTAAGAACTAAATCAGCAGCTATTGGAAAAGTTATGAGCTCTCTTTATTAAAGCATTAAAGATTTGAATGATGAAATTAATTAATACAAATCTGATTATGAAAAGTTAAAGGATAGTACAAAAGATTCAGTTGTTACAAAATAAAATCCACTTATTGACAAAGAAAGATAAATAGTTGAAGCTAAAGTATAAGAATTGAAAGAAAGAAAAGAAAAATTAAAGAAAGATTATAATAATTAATGGAATAAATTTGAAGATTATGAAGATTTATAAAATTATAGAGAATGGTTCTTAAAATAAATCAATAGAGTTAGGAGAGAAACTGAAAAAAAGAGGAAATAAGAAGAACAAAGAAGAAGAGAAGAAGCTAGAGCTAGAAGAGAAGCTGATAGAGAAGCTGAAGAATAGGCTGAAGCTGAAGCTAAGGCAAAAGAATTAGAAAATGTTAATCCATTCTAATATTAAGTTGGTATCTATTCTTTTTAAATATTTTATTAGATCTTTGTGAAACTTTAATCACTTATTGCAATAAACTTAAACCAACAGCTGCTTAATAATAAGCCTAATAATAAAAATAAATAGATGTTGAATAAGTTTTAAAGAGTGATGATTGGAAGAAAGAGAAATGCACTGTTATCAAAAAGGATACAGATGATGATATCTATAATTTTAGTCAATTGAAATCCAAAAAGAAGAATAAGGTATATATTAAATTTTAATCTAAGCAACAACAATAATAAAAACAGGCTAAAGAAGATAAAAAAGATGAAAAACCAAGCATTTTATAACATGATTTGTAAACTCTCTAATTCTTCGATACAGTTAAAGTGGCAACTCCATTCTACATAACTGAGCTTGACAAGGTTGTCAAGAGCATCTAAGAGCGTAAGGAGTATTATTTGAACCGTGAAAACTGGGGCAAAAAGGAAGAATAAGAGACACACACAGAAGTATTAAATAATTTAAATTTGTTTTAGGAATCAAAAGCCAAGAAATAATAGAAGGTCTAAAACTAAGATGAGTTCCCAGCCTTATAATGAAGTGCGTATATATATATTAAATAAATGGTACATATCTAAATTGATCTCTTCTTCTAAACTAGAAAAACTAATAAGCATAATTGTATTAATATTCAATTCTCCTCTTTCATCTCTTAATTAACTAATTAATAATTTGAGTCTCACAACTCTTCCTTATATCAATATAAATCAGAGATTACAATTACTATTTCAATTTAGCTTTGTTTTTCTCTTTCAATATAAAATTTTGTTCAAACCTTTTTTAGCAAATAAATATTTTATGAAGTATAAATATTTTAATAAATTCTAGTATTTATCAAGTAAATAAAATTCTATTATATTAAACATTATTGTATTTGTTATCTAATTTATGAGATGAAATTAGCTAACTTTTAATAGTCATTATTTATAATTTAAGTATTTGTGATACTTTTACAATCATAAAATATATTGGAAATATATAATCAAACATAAATTAACATATCTTTATTAATAATTTTAATGGATAATAAATAATAAGAAGCACAATACTCTTAACATCCATCAATAAGCAATTTATTTATTAATCAATAAGATAAATCAATTGTAAAGGAATTTTCTGAAACATCTAATATTATTTTAGAAAATCGAAAAAAATTAGTTGAACTCTAATAAGTATACGGAAATTAACATAGTTAATATGCTTTGGGAATTAAAAGCATATAGGAAAATATGAATTGTAAAAAAATAATAGTGACCTATAATTGCGATCAATCTGCTATACCTTTATCTTAAATTATTATACCTTAAGTTAGTCCCATTTTACCTTAATCCTAAGATAAATACAAAATACCAAAACTCTAAATATTTAGAAATTTGTACGAAATTTATGGATTTTTAAACACAAAAAACATTTAACATAGAAACCTAAAACCTAATAATATCATTTTATATAATAACAAATTATTTCTTATGGATTTTTGTCACATAGAAGGAGAATGGTTTACAGATTTTATCAATTTTTTTGATCAATAAAATAACAGTCATCATCGAAATAATACATATCCATATCTATCGCCAGAAATATAAGGCATGATTACTTAGTATAAATAATCTTAATCTGAAGATTAAAATGCTTTATAAAATAGGGATTAATTATCTGTAAAAAAGCAGGATTAATTTGCAATTGCAATTATGATGTTAGAGGTTTTTAAAACTTTAGAAAATAGGGATTTAACTTCTGTTGAAATAAGAGAATAAGAGATTAATGAATTAAATCTATCTGAGTTTACAGAAGAAGATGGAAAATTCATTAAAAATACAATATCTGGCTTATTAAAATTAAGTGAATTCAATGAAAAAGATTATAATGATAACTTAAATAAAATTGAATAAATAGAAAAATAGCTTGATAATTATCAGATTAATAAATAAGCCTTAATGAATTAAAACTATAAGAATTTTGTTAAATAGTTGTATAAAGATAAAAAAAATATTTTTGATTTGAAATTACTTTATTTTTTTACTTAAGAAGAATTAAAACAATTATTTAATGAAAATGAAACAAGTTAAGAATTAAAAGATGAGATAAAAAAATTTATAAAGATCTATAATGATATTGATAATGGAAGATTAAATAATATTAAGAGATTAAAGGAAGATGATTTATTGATTAGTTTAGTTTATTTGGATGAGTAAATATAATCATTACAATAAAAATAATAATCGGGTGAACTTGAAAAATATCTCTAACTGAAAAGATAACTGAGAAGAAATTATGATTAAATAAATAAAATGTAATAAAGTGACTTTACATTTAATACTATCTAATAAGCAGATATACAAATAAATTAAAATGAAAATGAAAATAATCTCTAACCATAAAATTTAAACAATATGTAAAATTAGAATCTCTAATAAGCAGATATTCATATAAATTAAAATCAAAGTAATCTCTAACCATGCATTATAAACAATATCTAAAATTAGAATCTCAAACGCTATTATTAATTATTTAGGTGTATTAGATAAAATATAGATAATATTTATCAATGTTAAGGCAATTCTAATGATATATATATTGGTAAATTTGAAAACAATAATATTTTCACTGGTGAAATAATATCATTAGAAGAAGAAAAAAGAAAGGATAAATAAGAAGAAAAAGTTGTATTAATCAAGCACTTTTTTAAAATAACATTAGACAATATGGAAATTAATAGTGTAAAAGGTTAAAATCCTGAGTCATAAATTATTTATTTCAAGGAAAGTAAACATCTAGGAAATTTTAACAAAATTATTGAATATATTGGTGAAATTAAAAATGGGAAAAAAAATGGAAAGGGAGTAGAAAAAAATTTCATTAAAAATATGTCCTATGAAGGGATATGGAAAAATGATTAAATGTTCGGAGATGGAACTAAGGAAATAATAAATACTGAATTTACACCTTTAAATAGTCCCTATAAATGGAAAGGAACATTTGTAAATTCTTAATTAAATGGGGATAAAATAAAGACATATTTATTACATAGTAAGAGAAAAATTCGGTTAAAGGGAAGATATCAAAATGATTATAAAATTGGAAATCATATATGTTATGAGAAAAAACAAGGAATTGATAACAATCCTGTTCTTTACAAAGCTTACTATGTAAATTGTTTTCAGAAAGAATATTCATTTTGCTGGTAGAATAATTCAAGGTGTTGCTGATTATCATCTCATATATTAAAATAATTATTATTTTACTCATTATCATTTTATATATACGTTTCTTAATTTTACAATGATTGAATTATTAATGTGTTTTTTGAAAGCATAAGTCCTATTGTTAATAAATTTATTATAAATATCTTGGAACATACAATTATAATCATAATATGGATAATAATCTTATACAAATCATAAATTTTTAATTAAAAATTCAATAACTATATTTAAATTAGAAGAGTAATTATAAAGTATCATATAATATAATTTAATCTAATAATAAATTTTGATTCTTAATCAAATATTTTTTATTTTTCAAAATAAAGTATTCTTAATAATCACAATCATATATGAATTATTTCTCTTCTGTTTTTTACATTTTTTAAATTTTATATTTTTAGAACTTGATTAATTTTTAGGCTTCCTAATACTTGCTATATATAAATTTGAATTTAATTAATTTATAATTTCTATTTTAAAAGCTATAGAAAAGCATAGATTTAAATTTAATGAATTTTAAAAAGAAATCATTAATAAAATTATATATATTTTTTATTTATGAATAAACTTGTTAATTCAGTTTTAACATTCTTAAAGCTTTCAAGAAAATCTTGCAATTTTATCATAAATTATTACATTTTAATTTTCTATATTAAATAATACCCTAAAAATCATTTTATAGCATCAAATCTAATCTAATATAAAATAAAATAATTTACTTCTGTTTATTGTGCAATAATAATTTGAATAATAAAAGAAATATACTTTTTAAATTTCTTTTCTCATCAATTTAGATCATTTAAACAGAGATTAACTAATAAACCATAAACCTTATGAGGATTTAATAATATCAAGGTACTTTCTAAATCTATAGTATATATCAAAGGAGGAATTTTAATTACATAATGATTCTATTTATAAAAATAATTTAGATTAATGGTGCAACACTGAAGTATAAATAACATTTGACTAAATGAAGAATAAATGATGAATACTAATTAGAATCACTATTATATTAGTTTAATAAGGAAAATGTTTAAAAAATGAATAATTAAGTCATTCATGAATGTTGTTTGATCTTTATAATTTTTTTTGCTAATTGAACTTTGTATTTGATTAGATTAGGAATTTATTTATTTTTAAACTTCAAAAGCTTGAGTTTATGTGGACATTATGTTGTTAGTATAGTTTCTTCAGGTTAATTCATTTTTAAATAAAATAAATTAAATAAACAATCAATCAACAAATTACTGGTTTTAACTTTGTCATTCGGTTTATTCTTAGTTCTTAAAAACCTCATAAAATATTATTATATATTACAATCTAAGTATGATTTTCCTGTTGAAATTCAATATTAAGATTTTATGACTAAATATTGAAATGATTTTATAGAGTTTATTATTTTTAATCTTCTTTCTCTGTAGATTCTTTAGATTGGTTTTTAGTGATGATGTTGATTCTAATTTTTGGATGTTTCTTGATTGGATTAGCTTTTTAAATTTGTATAATTTAGATATCTTAAATTTGATAGTTCAAAGTATAAAGAACGCTTTCAATAGTAATAATATCATTTGCTTTAACAAATAATTCATCTATGATTCCTGGTTACTTATTAAAGATCTCAATTATTTTATTTTAAGCACAAATTTTCATAGCATACTAAAAGGACCCTACGCTTTCCTTTTCTTCTTAAAATCAATTTAAGAAGATTACTAATGCATACTTCTATAATTTTGGCAACAATACAGCGAAAAGGTATATCTAAAAGGCTTTTGAGTGTCACATCTTAGGCCTTTTTATTTGAAGTGAAAGCTATCTATTCTAACATACTATAAATATTTGAGATAATAATTATAATGTCTAGTTCTATTTAAGAAGTAATAATAATTTAAATGATTTATAATATTAATTGAAAGTTTTGATAAATAGATAAATAATATTATAATATCAAGTATTTAAAACAGAAAAGCCATCAACTAAATTATAAGATATTTTATCAAAAGTCTTCTTAATTTCTTCATGTATTTTAGATAATATATTATTATTTTCTTTGGTCAATTCAAACATTTCTGCTTTTTAATCCATGATCATATCATCTTCAAATAAAGCATATTATTTATATTTGAATAATAGATCAATAGGCAAATCATCTTATTGAAGATTAAAAATGGCAATTTAATTTAAACATTGAACATGATTAAGTAATTTGACTAATTCTCTATTTTGAGATAATAAATCTCCTTTCATTTTTGATAATATTCTAACATAAAATTCTTCCAAAGATTTTATTTCATCTTGAATCTTCACTATATGCAAAATGAATATAAATACCTTGGAAAATTAAGTAATTTTTGAATTCTTTTCAGCTAATTCATTTTCTAAAAGTTTGATTTATTTTTTGTAATCTTGTTAATCTTAATTGGATTGCTTATCAATTTTTTATTATATTTATTAGTTATAAGTAGTTAACTATTAAATAGTCAATTTTAATTTCTTAATGACGATATCCTTTTATTGAATTTGATCCTACTGTAATTGGATTTGCTTTTTGTAAATCAAATTTTCTTGCTAAGTCTTGTAGCATAAAGTACCTACAAGGAAACATTCAGATTTTGCATGTCTAACACTTTGAGTTCTTGCATTTATTGTTCTTGAATATAATGCATTTTATTCTAGAAATCACTAACAGGCGAAGCAAAACTACCTATCTTGGAAGTGACCTTTTAGAATTCCTCTTTGAAAGAAGTGCAAGGTTATGTAGTTTGTTTACCATCGAGGGTTCTGTAAGTCTAAATTTTGTTATCTGACTATAAAGTGATAGTGCGTTAATTAGCTTTAGGAGTTCGAAACCACTAATCGTTGACGTTTTTGTTAGCACTCTTAGTAGATGAACATTTCGAATCACACTGAATTTCGGTTTGCTTCATTTGTAAGTTGAATAAGTTGTTAATAATTTAATTTCTGAATTCAAATGTAACATAACCTTCAATAATCATAATAATGTATAAATAGGATTGCACTTCTTTCACATTAAAACTAATCCTTAATTTTATAGAAAGTCATTATTTAAATATAACTTATCTATATTGAAGAATTAATCCATAAGAATTGAATATAAAGAATCAATAATCAATAATATTACTGACTAGGTATACATGATTAAATAAGAAGCATAGTAAGATTATATATGATTAAAATCATTATTAGTAAAATATCAAACATAATTTAATCTAATATACGATATATATCTGTTGAATACATTTAATAATTTCTTGTTTAATAAAATCAATAATTTTAGCCAATCTAATAAATACATAAATATTTTAATTTAAAGCATTAAAATAAAGAAAATTAGATATTACAATAAAGTAATAAAACAACAAAAAATTTAAAAGCATCTAGGTATAAACAAACAAAAGAATGATTTTATCAATATGGAAGCATATTTTTTAATATTCGTTAAAAATATTAATAATGAATTCAAGTTAAAGACAACCAAAAAGTCGCATCTGTGATGTTGATTCATAAAGACCATCTGATAGATCTATTACTCCTACAAAAACATTATCACTACTTTAACAATCTTAACATATTTAACCATAATAATAATTTATAACCAATACCAACATTTCAACCTTAAAAATTAAAACATATTCTATATAATGCTCAATAAAGTACTCCTATTGTCAATTGCCATTACCATCCAGATCAATATATTTAAAAATTTTGCAAAAACCCGTAATTATTTTCGATGATCCTAATAGTGAATGTCAATTACTACTTTGCCCTATGTGTGTTACTATCCATTAAAATGATCATATAACCTAAAACTATGTTCCTCATTTCGATTACTAGGTTATTGTCTTGGGGAACAATATAATAAAACAGTTGATATCTATAATCTATTAGGAGAAGATATTGAGGATGTAGTAGAATTAAAAAATCTTGTTAAAATTCATAGAGAAATTTAGAAAAAGAAATTCTTAGAAGCAAAGAATAATTCTATAAAGCTTTTGATTCTTTTATTTAATATCTAGAAAACAATTTAAATTCATAATCTAAACAAACTGATTAATTACTCAATGAAATCAATCAATTTCATAGATTAGCCTATGATAGAAGGGAAAATATGCAAGGGAGATTGTAAAAACTTAATTCTGAGAAGTGGCTAAAAACATTAATTAAGTCTTACAGGCAAAGCAAACCAGAAGATGTCTATTAACGTTAACATGAAATGACTATTGCTTTTATAGACTAAGTCAAAAGTGAATTTGATCAAGTAGAAATAAGGCCATCTTAATTATAAATAATCTTAGATTAATTGCAATCCTATATATCCATCACTAAAGATGGTCCTAAATAGATATCTCCAATAAAACCATAATAATAGTAATAATAATAATAATAATAACAATAATAATAATAATAATAATAATAATAATAATAATAATAATAATAATAATAAATCATTAGAAGAGTAGTTCATGAAAGACCAAGTAGTCAATAACATCATCAAAATTTTAACTCTTCTATTCCAACTAGAGTTTTATAAGGATTTCCTATACTCTAAAATTTCAACCCAATCACAGCCATCGAAAATATAACTATGCCTTAATAACCATAAATTCCTACAGGATTTCCTTAAATCATGCCATTTCAAAATTAATAATTCAACTTCTAACCCTAATATGCTTAAACTATGATGTTACTTAACTCATATTTTATCCCATAATCACTTCTTATTATGCCCTTACCTTTTCAAACCTAACATCAATATCAAAATCCTCCATTGTAACTTAAACAAATCTAGTTACAATAACCACTAAAACAATTTTTCTTACCACTTCAGTCACAAGCAATTTCTCCAATGCAATAATAATAAAATCAGCCTCTTGCTTAAATTAATCTTAATTAATTAGAGAAACCTGGAGAAGTCATTGATTTGAAATCTAACAAAAATCCACTAAGAATGGCTGAATAATATCAAATTTAATTGTTTAATTCTAGTGTATGATTTAGTTATAGCTTTTATATAAATATATGATATACTTTTTCGAAATTATATATCTCAAAATTATATTGTTGATTTTATTAATAACATTAAAATGAAGGATGTGTTTTAATTAAGATATGAATTATATTAATATACTAATTAAATAATCAGTATTTTTCAATAAAATGCACAAACTTAAGCTATAGTTTCTCAATCAAGATGTCGAACATAATTACATCCAATAGCACTAATTTCCAAAAAGAAAATTTTATTTAAAAGTTTGCACAGTAGGATTTCAAATTTTATTAATTTTCAAGTTGATCGTTTCGCTCATTGAAGAAAATTATTCAGTCACTTACCCTTTACTCATTACATGGGGAATTACAATATCTTTTATACTAATTCCTAAAAAAACTGATATTTAAATACGAATCACCATAATCTGCCTCAATTTAATTTATGTTGTCTATCTTCTATTTTTTGATCCCCAAGAAGAGGCTTAAATAATGTATTTTAAAGGTTCCACTTAAATGGCTGCAAATATAGTTAATATTTTTGTACTTGAATTTATAGATTCATCAATCTTAAATGTTGTAATTCTAACATTGAGAATTATACATCTTAATTACTACAGTCTCAAAACAGATTTACCATCAATTGCGTTTGGCATAGGTGTTCATATAATATTAATTTTAATGATTTATGTTTACCATAAGGCATTGAGGTCTTAGTACCTTTTAACAAAAACTGATCAAAGATGGGAAAATATTTTAAAATAAATTGTCCATGATTAAAAATTCATTTTAATCAATTTTGACTAAGAAAAAATTAAGTTCATTAGTATAACTTCTACATTTTCAAAGAAAATATAAAATCAAGACGAAGTAATAAATTTTATTCGTAATTCAAAAATTTAATAAAATACTTTTGAATAGTATCTTTATAAAAACATGAATAAATTTTAACAAAATTGTATAGACAGTTTAAACAATACTATAATGGTAACTTATGAAAGATAATTATTGAAACTAAATTTCTCAATATTTTTTGGAAATCAACCAACCATATTAATTTAAAAATATAGTCCTTAATAAGTATAAAATATGAAAAATTATTAAAACATATCTAAATTGTATCTAAATATTATTATTTCTCTCATAAAAATTATCAAAGAAAGGAAAAAGTTTGATTTATTTAAATTTTAATTAATAGCCAAGAAACTTTTCTTAAAAAATCTAATTTCAACCATTTAAAATCAAAATTTTTCATCCTATATAATTAGCTTAAAAAGGCTATTGAGTAAGATTTCCTTACTCAGCAACAAAAAATAATAAATCTAATTGTTGTGTTAAGATGTATAATTCCTAACAATTCCAAAGATATTTCAATTATTTTTAGTTTTATTAGTTGAATGTTCACATAATGAAATTATTCTGATTCAACATATTAGGATTGAAAAAGAAGTGATTACTATAAAATTTTGTGGTGCTTTTAACATTTAAAAAATAAAAGCATATGTAACTAAATTAGAGTATTATTTTCTTTTGATTTTTTAAAATATCAAATATGATGATGATTGTACTATTTATAATTAATAAAAAGCTGTGACAGTTAAATTAAATTAAGAAATATTTGTACCATTTAAGAATTTATCCTCAATTAACACATCAGAAGACATCCTACTACCATGATTACGTTTTGTGATATAATATGACTAATTAAGAATATTATTGATATTGTCTATATTAATAAAATAAATCTAAAATACTTTCATTTCCGACTAATATGATTCTACTTAACTATTCAAATTCAAAAAAAAGTAGAATAATATAATTTATTTCTAAATTTCCAAATTCTTCCTTATATTAATTTTAATTAGATTAAAAAAAATTAAGAATTAATCAAGTAATTATATCTAGATGAAATTAGATGACAAATTGTTTTTAAAAGACCTTTTAATTATATTTAGATTATATAATATTTTATAAAAAAATTAATCATAAATATTAATAGGTATTTAATGGCTACAACTAGAAATTAAAAGCGCACAAAAACATATACTTATGTCAGAAATGTAGATGAAAATCAAAGGAGCTTAAGAACTTAATCAAAACTGGATATTTTGGAAAGTGATTATTATGATTCACCAAACAAATTGGCGGAAGAAGAACTTTCTGATGCATCTGCTAATAGAAAGAAAAGCAAGATGTTGAGAATTGCTAAGAAGAAATAAAATAATACATTAAGAAAAAATGTAAACTTAAAGAAGATGCTAAAAAATACTCCATTGGATTCTGAGTTCCTAAATTTCCAGAATATTACTCCGAAAGCAAAACCGCAGTAGACTAAATAGTGTAGTATATGCAGATCGCAAGCCAAATATACATGTCCTAGATGTTTGGAAAGGTATTGTAGTTTGGATTGTCACCAAACTCATAAGGAAATACAATGTTTGCGAATGGATTATTGATTTAATAATTATTATTATACAGGACTTAAATATTATATATTATAATGTTAAGCCAACATAATTTATAAAGTAGTCGAAAGAATATAGGGAACAGTTCAAGTTAATAATTGTAAAAGTTCTAGGAAAATGGATTTTATTAATTTATCTTAAGCAGAAATAGAGCTAAGGAGAAGATGGTAAAAAAATAAAAATAAATCACTCCTTTAAGGCAGATGCGTCCTTCGACTGCTTTTGTAGATTCCAAAGGAAAACAAAAGTTCTAAATGAATTTTGGGTTATAATTGGAAAGTTTCAGCACTTTATAACCTAAACATTAAATATTTGAGGAGCATTAGAAAAATAACTCCTAGCATTAAGCTTCATCTACTCCAAATTAGAAAATTTATGTAAATGATCAGAAGATATTGAGGGCAATGTCTGCATTAAGAAAAATAAAAAATTAAAGAGCTTTTCGTCCTTGTCCATTTACTTTAGGGTTTAATATAGAATAATGCTCCATTAAACCAAAGACTATAAAATAAAGATCGATTAGTTAATTATAGTAAATTAAAAGCTTAAATCGTACAGAGATCATGAAATATAAAAGACATGAATCTCCTTAGACTATTTAAAAACCAAACTTGTAAAATTAATTTACAAAATGGGAGTAATATGATGATAGCAATTTATTCGATCTAAATTTCTTGAACAATAATCTCTTCAAATACGAACTTTGATTACATATTTTAACACTATTTTTGAAATTTAAATCTGTGTTTAATTAGTGTGCTTGTTTATATCGATTTGAAATTTTTTAATAAATAAAAATCTTTTTTTCTCTTTCATAATGGGTGCATATAAATATTTACAAGAGCTTTGGAAAAAGAAATAATCTGATGTCCTCAGCTTCATCATGAGAATCAGAACATGGGAATACAGATAATTACCAGTCATTCATAGAGCAACTAGACCCAGCAGACCAGATAAAGCCAGAAGATTAGGTTACAAGGCCAAATAAGGTTAGATTTTAAACTGATCTATTAAAGGTTATGTAATTTACAGAGTCAGAGTCAGAAGAGGTGGAAGAAAATTGTTGATCAGAAAGGGTCTTGTTAAGGGTAAACCCAAGAGTCAAGGAGTTAATCAATTAAAGCCTACCAGAAATCTTAGATCAGTTGCTGAAGAGAGAGTTGGCAGAAAAATTGGAGCATTGAGAGTTTTAAATTCATATTGGGTGGCTTAAGACGGAACATACAAATATTATGAGGTCATCACAGTTGATCCATTCCATTCCGCCATCAGAGGAGATCCAAGAATCAATTGGATTACCTAACCAGTTCACAAACACAGAGAATTAAGAGGTATAGTCTGCAATTTCTATAATTTTAGGCTTAACATCTGCTGGTAGAAAGAGTAGAGGTCTCAGAGTAAAGGGTCACAGAAATAATCAAACAAGACCATCAAGAAGAGCCAATTACGCTAGAAGAAACAGAATTTCCCTCAGAAGGTACAGATGATGATATATTTTGCATATACTCAAGTACAATTAAAAAAAACAAATACATCCCCCAAATTTATTTTATCATATTTGAAAAATATTAGAAATAATTTATTTATGAACCAGATTTTCTATCCTTTGACTTAAGTATAGAGAACATCAACTAGACAAATTAATAAAGTGATATACTATAGTAATCCTTTACCAGAAATAAAACTAAAATCTAACGATCTAAAATAATCTATATATGATTGGTATCAATTCTTCTAATTTCAAGGTTGAGACAACTAAATTAGGAACAATTAGAAGAAGTGCTTTCCTTTACTTCTTATTTTAGAGTTTATTAATATCTTAAAATGTTCAAAATAGATCAAAATGGGATGCATGAATATTAAGAATTATTATGTAGTCCTTTTGAAGTGAATATAGCATAGGAACTCAATAAATATTATTCTATTTAAAATTGCAAGCGTTTAAATAAAATTGATTTAAATGCTCATAAGGTATATAATAAATTTCAATAAATTAAAGTACATCCTTGATCACATCTATGTGTCTGATTATGAATGGTTATTTGATACCATTATATTAAAAGGGGATGTTGAATAAATTATTAATTCATTTGAAACAATATCTAATGGTACCATATTTACAAGTTGTGGAGAATTAGAATCTCATGAGGATGAAGGATATTTTGAAATTAATCTTAAAAAATAGAAGGTCTATTAAACATTATCTGAATTATTAGTTGATGAATTTCAAATTGCTATTTTATTAAAGTACTTAATCAAGTCTAATTAATAGGTATCATTAATCTTGTGAAAGGAATAATTACACTTATCAAAAAAATTTATTAAATTTGAATAATGTAAGATTTAATTATCTATCTTTGAACTTAAATTAAGCTTATCTTGAGTTTAAATAATTGTTTACTCATTAATCAAATTAGTAGTAATTAATTACTGAATTTAACTTAATTTAATCATGGAACGAGCATATTAAATAAAATTCATTGTAGTTTAAAACTCTTTGTTAAGAAATTTAATACTATTTTAATTAACCTAAAGAATTATTTTCTGTACCTCTCAAATAAATTCTTAATGAATTTGTTCTATTTTGTAAATTTTTGATTTCTAGAACATTACTCAAAGAATTTCCATTAAATTAAGTACCTGAAATTATAAGAGTCCAACATAAATAGGATAAATAAACATATCATTAATTGTAGCAGCTTAGCAATTTATTCAAAAATTCATCAAAATCTAAAATATTACCTTAAAATGATTAAAGGCTATTTAGCACAACCAATGAAGAAATAGAAAATCATTTTTATGAATTCACTAATTCGTTTATAAAGAAGTTAATGGATGAAACATTTATAGAATTAGAAAATCAAAAGAAATTCAAAAAATAAAAATAGAAAAAGGTAAAAAGTCAAAAAAAACAATATATGAGTGAATGTACTTCAAATTGCACTGAGTATTAATAGTTATAACAACAGCAAGAAATTCAATTTGGTGATGAAGAATGGATTAATGATACATAATCAAAGAATCAAAAGAAAAAATAAAGAAGAAAAGAGTAATTATACTATTTAATCTTAGAAATCAAGAAAAGAAGAAATTTAAGAAATTACCTGAAATTTAGTAGGTATAATCAAACCAAATAATTGAAACTTAATAATTTGAAACCTCATAAAAAATAGAAAACCAAAAGTAAGTAGAAATTTAAGAATAAGTTTAAGAGACATTTCTTTGTACAACAACTTCTACTCATGATGATGATTGTGAATTTATTGAAGTGACCAAGAAGAAATTTCATATGAAAAAAAAAAAATAAAATAATAAAAAAGATAAAGAATTAAAAGAGGTCTAAGTTGAAAAATAAGTTATCTTAATAAAGAAATCTAATTCTTAAAATTATTTGTCTGATGATTAAAAAATGGAAAATTAAACTCCCAAAAAGACTCTATCTTAAAAAAAAGAATAAGAGAATACTTCTCAAAAACCAGGTTTAGTAAAAAGCTTAAGCAGAGACTAAAAAACATATAAATATGATATGGATAAAGATACTCTTAATAATATATATTAGAGCATTTTAGAACATAAAATTTCAAGAGATATATAATCAATATATTAAAAAGAATAGGATAATCTATTAAAATTTAGGACAGCAAGAGATGTTGCTATACTTAGATTGTAACACATTATTAAAGCCCATTTCTTTTAATTTCAAGTTGAGCCAGTAATTTTTGGTTCATCAAGAACAGGTCTGGCCTTGCATGATAGTGATGTTGATATGGTCGTTTTTGGGTTACCTGTGTTTACAAAAGTATAACTTTTTGAACCTATGAGAAAACTGTTGGAAGTTTTCTCATAAATGAAATGGGCTATTAGTTACAAGTATTTTATCCTTTTTCACACCTTTTAGACACATATTTCAAGCAAGTATACCATTAATTAAAATAACAATTGATCCTTCTATTGGATTTTTAGAATTTTTAGGAAATCCAATTTATTATGTAATGAATCATAGAAATATAGAATAATTGAATTTGAAATTTGGAGAATAATGTATTGAATTATTTTAAATTAAAGCTTAAAACATTTAAATTGATATCACATTTGAATTATAGTAACCTTACCCTATGTATGGATATTAAGGATATCATATTGGACTACTCTCAACAAATTATCAACGTTAAGTTGGAATTTCAGTAAAAGGATTCACAGAAGTAGCAGTAGTCTTAAAGAAAATCTTAAAATAAAAAGGATTGAATGACTCTTACACTGGAGGAGTGAGTTCATTTTGTTTAACTATTATGTTAGCTGCAATAGGTGAGAATATTTCTATGGGAGATAAATTATTGTAATTTTTGTTAAGATATGGATGGAATTTCGATCCTGAATAATAATGTATTTCATTAAATTCAGAGGAGACTTTTATGCCTATTTATGAATAAGGAGATAAATTACCTTTGAATATAATTTCACCTATTAATGATGAGAAAATTCAAATTTATGTCTCAAAGATATAAGAAATTCTATAAGTCTTTAAAGAACTATATTTGGAGTTGAAGGAAAATATGAATCAAATAGCAATAAGTCTACAAAAGAAATTAGATTAAAAGGAATTATTATAATTATATTAAACAAATATTGAGAAGCTTGTTGATCTGATCTAATGGCAGAATACAAATCTTCTTGATAGTCAATTCTGATATTTATTTATATATTTTGTTTATAAATCAATCTATTTATATTATGAATATCTAAGATAAATTTAGAAAAAAAAAAAAATATAATTTTATTATTAATTTTTCAGTTATTCATTTAATTCTGATTAATTTAATTTGAAATTTTTTTTGTTTAAATTCTGCTTTTCTTCTTTCCAATTCCTTAAAGTAAGGTAATAGAGGGGCAGTATTTTTTATAAGTGTAAAGGCATTTACAATATTATTAAGTTGATTATTAATAATAAGATTGATTAGACTTTCTAATTTTTGTTATTTGATTCTTTATATGAGATCTGATTAAGCATTGTTTTTTTAATTTGTTAGAGGAGTGAAGCATTAAAATTAAGAGACTGTTTTATTAAGTATTGGTGTAGATGTATTATTGTTATTGGTAGATTTAGAATGATTATGATTTCTTTTTTATGTGCTCACCAATTATGATGAATGTTAAACCATTGTAATTTTTTATTAAGTTCTTGGACATTCTTGACTGACAGTTTTGACTTTTTATTTAACATCATTAATTTCAATAATAGATGTAAAGATCTCAGGACTCCTTTTAACTATGAGAGAAGATTCAGGTTATCTTCTTCTTTGAATAGGTGTCCTATTAGCTTGAATGATTGATTATATTTACTTTATCTTAAGCTTAATAAATCATAGAGTTTAGTTTTAGCAGATGTATATTATTCAAATTTGTATTGATCATAATAGTGAATTGTTTTTTGTTTTTTTTGAAGATTGGTTGGCTAAGGTATTGATTTAATTTCAAGAGCTGATTTTGATTGGATTGTAACAGGTATTTATGGTCTATGATAAAAGGCGAAATCTTTATTCAAAAAATAATTTCCATTTTGAAGCTTCGATTTCATATTTAATTAATAACGTAATTTTGTTTTAATTAGTTTAATTATTAGTTTTTGAAGTGCTCTAAAGAAAGAAAAATAGAGATGGATGAATTATTGATGTTCTCAGCTTAAAACAAACTAACCTTTGCTTATAATAGAAATACGTTACAAGTTTAGACAGAATTGAAAATAAAAAATATCTCAGAAAACATATTAGAAATTCAAATAGAATTGTCTAATCCTCAAAATTATAAAATATATCCAAATAATTTTTACATCAAAAAACAAGAAACTAAAGTTGTAGAGATAATATAAATAAATTATGTAGATAAAGATATATTTTGAACATAGGTTCCTATGAAATTAGATGAAAGAGCAAAAATAATGTATAGAACAATTTTAGAGAATTCAACAACTTCAAGAAAAAACATATAGAGTATATATCATTTTTACAAATACTTCTTTTTTGAATTATCTTGTCATAAATAGTCTTCTTTCAATGAAAATAATAGTAGAATAACATAAGTGAGATAATAAGAATAAAGACAACATTAAATTAGAGTTGAAGTAAAAGAATCTTTAGATTATTGGTAACTAGTAACTCTAACAGTGTCTATTATTATAATAGTAATAGCAATATTTAATTGGTTTTATATTAAAATTATAAAGAATGATTAATGACTTAATTTTAATCTTGGTTTAAATAAAAATTATTATAAATGTTTTTGGGCTTGAGAAGGGTGAGATTCAACTTTGGTGCGGTTTTAGAGCAATATCAATACTTAGTAAGACAAGAGGAGATAGCAAGAGACGAGAGGTAAGTGAATACGGTATGATAAAATAATTAAGGCTAAAAGATTGTCTAATTTGACAGGGTCAATGATCAGTTGGTCTAAACACACTAATAATGGTTGTAATATTCAAAATTCTTGGATGAGTTTATTAGAAGAAATTATACAACTTAGTAAAGTTAAGTGTAATAACCATCTGCAAAGTAGTCATCATTCTTTAGCTCTTTGTTCGGAGGATCTCAAACTGTTAGTATTAATGAGACTAAATTATAATCGACTCAATAAGATCATAATCGTCCATTTGTATAATAGATTTAGGGGTTATATGTATTTGGATCACCAGGATGTGGGAAGACTTATATTATGGATTTATTTTATGAATAATGTTAAATTCCCTAAAAGAAAAGAATCCATTTTAATGAATTCATGCTTGATATTCAAAAGGATCTACATAAATGTTCTAGTAAAGAAGATCCTGTGAATAAGGTTGGTACTGCAAAAGCTAAAGATATAAGATTATTATGTTTAGACGAGTTCTAAGTTACTGATATTGGAGATGCATTAATTTTAAAGAGATTATTTGAGACAATGATTAATAATCATATGATTTTAGTTGCTACATCCAACCGACCTCCAGAAGATTTATATAAGGGAGGATTATAAAGACATCTATTTTTACCATTTATTCCATTTTTAAAACAATCATGCATTATTCACAACATGGACTCGTAAGTTGATTATAGATACTCTTACGTATGAATATTGTGTATTCTAAATAGTCTGAAGCTCAAACTGAAAGATTATTAACATATATTAGTCCTTTGGATGATAATGCTGAATAGACAATGAAAGCAATTTTCAAAAGAATAAGTAAAACAGACAAATTGTAAAATTTGTGTATCTATATATATTAGTTATGAAAAAGAAATAGAAGTAATTGAAGGAAGAAACTTTAAGATAAAAAGATAAGCTAATGGAGTAGCAATGTTTGATTATGAAGAATTATGTGAAGATGTAGTAGGAGCTTCAGATTTTATAGCTTTATGTAGAAATTATCATACTATATGTCTAAAAGGAGTAAAATAAATTAGTATGAGTAATCGAAATGCTGCTAGAAGATTTATATTATTAATTGATGAAATGTATAACCATAAAACAAAATTGTATTGTTCTGCAGAAAGAGATTTGATGAACCTCTTTATTGTAAAGAATAAAGGAGATTAATATGATGAAGAATTTGCTCTTGAAAGATGTAGATCTAGATTGAAAGAAATGTAATCTAAAGAATATTTAGAGACTCCATCATATTATGATTAATAAAAATAATGATTAATTTAAGTATATTATTAATATATATATATATATTAAATAATCACTATATTATTATTAATTATTATTAATTGTGAAGAGATTATTTCATATTATTTTAAACTTTAATTGATTCAAATGTAACTTTTTTAAAAATTGATGATTTCATTGATTTATATCTACTACTATTTTCTCCATTGCTATTTTCACTACTTACAGATTTACTTTTTAATATACTTTTTGGTTAAGATGTATTCAGTAAATAATTATTAGTATTTCTGTACATCTATCCTAATTTATTTTCATTTAAAGAATATATATTTAATTAATTAAGACTTAATTTTTCTTAGATTGGATCCTTAAATTAATCAAATTAATGAGTTAATAAATGATTAGATCTTTATGCAATTCTTATTGTTTAATAATCTAAGGTAAATCCAAATTATTTATCTTAAGAATAACTCATACCTTTTTTTGATTTATGATATGTTGAACTTTTATTTACAGATCTTTAAGACTTTTTTGATTAAGTTTCTAATAATTAGATTTATTAATTCTTAATTGGTGATTGAGATTAACTTTTTACAGAGTATAAAGATCCTTTTTTATTTTTTTTCTTTCTTTTCTTATCTCTTCCCAATAAAATATCAAAATTTTAATTTACATATTGATCATTTTTCATTTATTCTTCAATTTAATCTTAAATTTAAAAGTCACTCAATTTCCTTCTACACTCATTTTAATTCAATGAAAAAATAGATTCATGACATTGTTTAAATTTATACTCACTTGAACTAGATTTAATCTCCATTATCCTTTTATAGACTGAAGTACTGATTTCTGTTTAATATGTATCATAGTCTTGTTATTTAAACTTTGGTTTCATAATTCTACAATCCAAATCCAACGATTATTCATCACTTCTTATAGAAATGGAATCTTCCCTACTTATCATTTTTTAATTAACGTAGTATATAAAACTATAAAATACAATAAATTATTTTCAATTTTTGATATAAGAGTAACAAATGTTCCTATTTGGAACACTAAAATAACTATTAAATTGTATTTTCTATTTGGTTTAATATTTATTGTATTTTTTTACATTATTATCTTATTTCTCTATTTCTTTTTTATTTTGAGATGTTGATATTGTTGTAAATCCCTTTATTTAATGATTTCTAGTAAATATGTTGTTTGAAATAAACAATTAAGAATATGGAAGAGATTTACTACAAACAAGGTAACTACTTATGTTAGTTTAATTTTTAATATTCTTTCCTTTTTTCAATATTTCCTTTTAATCTATAGATTATAAAGCTTATTTAGTTTTGCTATATAATTATTTTATTTTCTATTCTAGATCATTTTCTTCTTCTGATGAAATATCTGCTGAGGAATTTATATTAAAATGTATAGGTTTTTCAATATCAACTTCTTTAGGGTATTGAAAACTAAATGAGAAATCTATAAGATCACTTTGTTACATTATCCAAAATTTAATAATATTCCAAATATGTAAATGAAATGTAAATTATAATATCCATTCATATAATTAAACAAAAAATGTGAGCAAATTATTCATATATTTTACAATAATATTTCTTCAATCAATTATTCAGCAGTTTTATGTTTCCCTTTTTACTCAACATATTTAATAATATATTATTCACCTTTTTATGGAAAGAGTTCCAATAATTTTTAGATCTTCTCTTCTTATGGTGTTAATGGATTCTTAGATGGAGCCTTAACTCTTACTGGAATTTAACCATTAACTAAACATAATTAACCATTTTCATTTTCAACATATATCTAATTTTTTAGAATTAATTATTTACTTCAAAAATATAACAAAATTAGTCATTGTTTATAAAATGTTGAGCAATGTATGGAATTGAAATCTTAATTGATGCAATACTACCTGGAACAAGATCTTTAAATCGTTAAGTAACATTTAATCCTTTATTTGTTATATATGGATTAATCCAATTCTTATTACCAGTATTTTTTAATTATAAACAAAGATTAAGATTCTTATTTTTAATGCTAGTAAATTTTGGAATTTTAGTAGTCAATTAAAATTTATAATTATTTGGATCAATTTTTTCTTCTTTTATTAATAAACCTAATTCTGTTAATTTTTAATCAATAATTTCATCTATAAGTTATTTTAGTTATTCATTATTTTTATAATCTATTTTATTTGTATTTTAAGCATTATCAATTTATTAAACCTTTGCTTAAGTTCTATTATTAGTAATTAAATACAATTACCCAATATTGCCTAATAATGGTTTAAATTATTGGCACTAATCTTATTGATTAGGTTAGATGAAGGTTGAAGCATCTTGATTCTTCTTATCTGTTATTATAATACTTTGATTTAATAAATTCCATGAATCTTTTAAAATCTCTTAATAATTTTGAGTTTCTGTAACAAGTAATTTAATGGATGGCCATCCTTATTAATGATAAAATAGTTTTAACTATAAAAAAGTAACATCTGAATTGATTTCAGTGACTGCTTCAGGATTTTCTATTAATTTAAGTTTAAAATATATACATGGATTAATGATTGCAAATAAATGTATTTAGTTCAATTATTTGTAAGTATTCTTGATGGTTTCAATTAGATCATAATAATGAGTAACATTAGATGGTACTTTGTGAATTTTCTTGAGATAAATAAACTTAATGTTTGACATTTAATTAATTATAATATTATAAGAATTTTATATTCTCATCATCTTAATTAGATATAAATTCTAATAAAATATGATAGTAATTATATAGAATAAATACATCTTATCATTATGATTATGTATTTGTAGTAATTTATTTAATCAATAAATTTAGATAAATATATTTATTTCTGTTAAATATTTAGATGGGAAATCAGATTCAAAAAATCAATAGAAAAATAGATTAATTGCTTTTTAAAGCCTATGATTATTTAATAAAAGAGGATGAATTATCAGATAAGACTGTAGATGTACTTTCTACAGATGATAATATAAATGAAAATTTTGAAGAATCAAAGGAGAGTTAAATTTAAGATTAATGCTAAAGTTTAAATCTATATAGGAATAAATCAAAAGTAATAAATAAAACAACTGAAGATGAATTAGGTAGTAAAAGAAAATCAAAATCTTAATTATTTTCTGATAAAAAGAATAATAAAAAAATTTGTGAAAACAAAGAAAATTATTTATATAGCTGATAATTATATTTATATATATATGTGTGTGATATAAATGAGTTTTAAAATTTAGTTATATTTTTTTACAATTATGATTAATAAATTATGATTTTATAATAAATTCAATAGAATAAATTAAGTTAAATATATAAATATAAAAATCATTCTTAATGACTAATAATATATTCTTCTAAAAATTGTCTTGCTTAACACTTTAATTTCTATTTCTTTTTATAATCAGATTGATATCTACTTTATCTATTCTATGATCCAGTTAAAGATGGCATAAATGTTTAATTTTATTATGGTAAAATAGCATTTGTTTATGATTATGAAACAATATTATAGAAATGTTGATATGATGTTTTTAAATATGGATTTGGTGTCTAATTTGTATGTCTTTTATAATGAGCTTCTCTAACATAATGATCATTTTCTAATTAAGAACTACATGCTCTAAAATGTTTATTATAAGTAGTTTTTTAAGTCATAGGTAAGGTTATAGAATGATCAACTTCAATAGGTTTTAACATTGTAGTTATATCTAATATAACTTTTAATATTTACTATTTGGTTATTATTTGAAATTTGCTCTATATGAAGTCATCTCAACAACAGGTGAATCATTTTTCCAGTCTTAAGAAGATGGTTTAAAATTTTCAGTTTTCTAAATGTTAAATGATTGAAAATTTCTTTAGTAGGTAGAAGATCTAAAAACTTATTCAAAATTTGATTAGTATTCTACTTTTTAAACTGGTTTTGGAGGGGAAGAATATTTCCACATATATTCTCTTTTATAATTTGACAGTAATATTTTTGGATAATCATAAGGTTGTTAAATCATTTAACATTTACATTAACCACATAAACAATCAGCACATACACATGTACCATCAAGATGTGAATAATTTCTAGATTTTTACATTCTAAGATCTTTGATTCTTTATTCAATTGTACTTGTTGATCTTGGCTTTGACATAAATTTAGAATAATTTTTATTTAAAATTATTAACTCCAATAATTAAATGAGATAATCATAGAACTATACTATTATTTGATGTTCTATGTATATAAGAATGTAAACACTTAATTATTCTTCAATTAATACAATGGATTAAATATATTTATTAATATTAATTAATTCATATAAGGAAGAATTAATACATGAAATTATTAATAAATAATATCATTGTTCAATGATAGGTCCAAAATAATTATTACTAATTCCCTTAAAATAATATTAAAATCATGAAGATTAGAATGTATAATGTTTGGATGATTTTGAACTTAAAATTTAATAAAAAGAAGAATTTTCTACTACTCATATTATTTAAACTTAATATTCTCATAAAAAAGTAGAGAAGATTGATAAAAAAGTTAAATTCAATCCAACCATTATCAGTTATAAATTTCATGAAAGTGAACCAGCTATTACAATTTCTAAATAGATGAAGAAATTAATATAAATGTAACCAAATTAAAAATGGATCAATCCTAACATTTAAGTATGAAATTAACATGATCCTTATTATTTTCACTCCTCAACTTATTAAATATTTATAATATATATGATAATTTACTAAAAATAATTCAATCTTAGATGTTGAAAATTAGATAAATATATAAATAAATTATTATTTCTAATTATTTTATCAATTTTTTATTTAACAAATACTAATAATCTAAAATTACTATATATTATAATATAATTAATTAATTATATATTTATTTTATTTTTGTTCTAATATTTATAATAACTAAATTTGAAATGTCATTAGATAATTCAAATTACTAAGATTAATAAGAAGATATAAGATCAAATGATTATTTATCTGAATTTTAATACAAAAAGAATCGACCATCTTAGAAAGAATGGTCAAATAGAACTAATAAACCATTGAATAATAATACATTGAAACAATAAATTCCAAGTGAATTCTTAAGTAAACCATAAAGTTAAAAGGAGGCATAAATTTAACATCAAAAAAATGATACAATTTAATTGTATCCTTCTTAAAAAGCAAATTCTAATAGAAATTCATTGGCTGAATAAGAAAAATAAGAAATTTAGTTTCAATTAAATTAAAAAAAAATAAAAGAAGAGTAGGAAAATTAAATACAGTCATAAGTTCGTAAGAATTCACAACTTAAAATTTAGCCTGTTTTCAATATCAATATCTAAATTACTAAAATTTATCCTAGGTCTTCAAAATCTTTAGATGTTGCTTATAATTTATAGTATAGAAAAGAGAAAGAATTAAAGTAGTTAAAACCCAATCAATAAATTTAATCTAATATATTCTCATCATAAAGCAGGGAAATTATCAATAGAAGTTCAAATAATCAAACTCAAATTTCAGATTTTGATAAAGTCAATTCAATGATTTACCCCAGCCAATCATAATTAAGAACTTATGAAATGAGATTAGGAATGTAGAATGATCCTAAGTTATAAGAGAAACAGGATATTTTATCTGATATTCATGAATAATTAAAATAATTTACTATTACATCAAGTAGTAAAAAACATTCAATTTTGGAAGATGCTCTTTAATTGTGTTTATTGTTATTACCAGATTTAAGAGGATTTGAACGTCATATTATTTCAAAATAATTTTATGAAAAAATGAAATGTGTGTATTAATTAGAAAGAAATTATTAAGCATTTGTAAGAAGGTAAATATTATAATTAAATAAATAAATAGATTCTATCATTTATCAATATTTTCAGAAAGTTGGACTTTATAAAATATATCAAAGATGGGTGAAATAATAATGAAAAATTAATAGAGTACACTATAATCATATCATATAATTTATAATATAAAAGACAAAACAATTGAATTCCCATCACAAAATTCGAATAAGAAGATACCTGAAAAACCTAAAGCAATATAATAAATAATACAAAATTAATAAACAAAAAGAATTGTTTTGTCATGTAAACAATTTATTAATAATTAGTAACTACTAAAACACTTTCTTAATATGTAAATCTTTCTGCTAAGGAAATTGATGAGGATATTTAAGAATTTGATGATGAATTGTAATTTGTTGAAATGATTCTGAAATTAATTCCTCTCGCTTTATGATTATATATTTATTTATAATTGAAAATTGTCTAATAATTCATTTATAAATTTTAGTTGATCAACTTTATTTATTTATAATGGCATCTTTTTAGGATAGAATAATTTATTTTTATATTTAAATTTCAATTAGTTTTAAAATATCTTAAATATATTGTTATATAAATAAGGATCTTAAATAAATAAAGAATATATATATTACTTATTTACAAGATGAGGTTTTATTCATTATGAGGAAAGAAGAATATTCCTAGAATATTATAAAGTTGAAAAAAATATTCAAATTTGTTAAATAATTGATTCATTTTAACTTTATTTATGTGCAATTATGATTAGTTATAAATAATATTTATAGTAAGATATAAATTTAATATTGATTCATCCAAGAACTCATATGTATTATTATTATTTACTAATTATCAATATGGTTACAATTTTGTATATAATTTAAAATAAAAAGTTAATAATTCTTTAAATGATGAACACTTTGATTTTATTATAAGATAATAGATTAGATAATATAAGATAATATATTAATATTCTAAATTTGATTAATGATTTTTCTATAATCCCATATGAATTTAATTAATATAACAATACAAATACATATGTTTAATAACATTATATCATAATTATAAATTTAAATTAGTTCTTCATTGAAAATGATAGTTAATATATGAAATGATATTTAAAATCTTTATGAATATCTTTCAATTAAAAAATTAAATTCTAATATATATTAAAAATCATTTTTTAGTACAAAATAGAAAAAGTTAATCAGTATTTCTAATTATCCTTTCTTCTTTTGAGAATAGTTGAAGTTTTAATTGACTTTAGTTTAGGAACCGTGACAATTCTTTTCAAAAGAGAATCATAAAAGTGAAAAGCAGTTTATTCAATAGCCAATTCTGAAGTATCAAAATCCTCAAAGTCCAATATATCATCTTCAACTAATTTAATGTTAGTTTTAACAGGAGAGTTTCTGCATGTGTCTAAAGTAGATTCTCGACTCATTTAAAGAGATGATTTATAGTGCGTAGATTCAGAGCATCCCATATAAATTTAATAATTATTAATGTCATTCTGATGATGCAGTATCTAATTATAATATTAATGTTAATTATATTAAATTAATCATAACATAGTGAATCACAAATTCTGTAAAATGAGTTAACTTTACATATTTAAATTTTATTGTCATCTAAGAGTTTAAATTTGTTTTGAATTAATATAATTTATTGAATATTATTAGATTTACTATAATCCAAACATTTTTTAAGTTTATTATTATATTAATGTACTAATAATTGTAATAATCAAATATATTCATCTCTAATTACATTTTAATTGTATTCAAGAATATAATTATAAATAAGTTAATCCTTTATTAAATTTTTGTATTTAAAATAATAATTTTTTTATAAACTCTTTTGAAAAACAAAAATATATTAAAATAATATTCAATATAATCTCAATTAGTAACCATATACATCATTAAGTAATTGTTAAGCAAAACCTACACATTCTTAATAATCTTTATCATTGAATTAACTTAGTTTTCGTATTAATTCAATAACAAAATTACTAGTAATAAATTCTTTGATTTTTTATTTCATATCTGGTAGATTTTAAAAGAAATGAGAGCAATCAAATATACAACATAGAGTTAATCTTACATATTCCTAAATTAATATTTAATATATATACAATAGTTGGTTTTAATTTTAAATTGCACATTTCTTAACAAAATATAATAAACCATTAAACTGTATCACCTAATTCAAAAATAGGAGTTTTTGGATCACAATATGCATGTAATATACATGTATAAAATGCAGTCATTGTTTCTTTCAATCTTTCAGCATAATCTTAATCAACACTTAATTTGCTTTTTGTTAAATCTATACTAGCTGCAAAACCTAATTTAAGTAT